TTATTCTGTATTCAAAACCGTTTTTTTAAATTAAGAATCATATATACATAAAAAAATATTATAGTATTAAATCAAAAATTTTCAGTGGCTCTTTAAAAGCGGGACATTTTGTAAAATTGTAACTTTTGGCCCTTTCATTTCAAAAGGTTGCCGACCCCTGGACTAGAGTGAACCAAAAGAGAGAAGAAATTGGATATAATGAACTTTTTTCGGTCTTCGACTGATTTTTTCTTCTTCATTTTTTGGTAATTTTGAAATTTCTACATGAAATACATATACTGATTCTTAAAACCATCTATAGAGTTGAATGTAGCCATAAGTATTTTTTCTTGTTTGCTTCTTCTATCTCAGTTTCCCATCCCTAAATAAGGGCCACCCCTAAATGTTTTTGTACGCAAGACGAAAAGTAATGGAAAAAAAAATTTAACTCATTTTTGTTACTACATACTGTTTTTTAATCATTTTTGTATATCTTTTTATTGATCATTTATTTAAATAATGTATAATAAAAGGGAGCAGTTCGGAAGAAATTAGTGTAAAAATTGTTTGCAGTATGGATATAGTGAACCAAAGTTTCGGTCCCTTGAAGGTTCACTATAGCGGGGTTTGACTGTATATAATTTTTTTTCTACTGATTTGTTTGCTTATTACTTCCAAAACTGACTGTCCCGCAGTGAACTGATCGTTAAGACACTGTTCCCAGCAGATCACCGAAGTCAAGCATCACTGGCAGCGGTCAGTGTACGGGTGGGTGACCACTTGGATCAGTCTGAGTAGGGACCGAGGGTGTACGATATTGGTCCTCGTTAAACTGTTCTACCGTAAAGTGCTCGACTTCGCGTGCAAGTCGTCGGGCTACCGAAGCGGGAGTGTCATCCCCTCTGCTGAGGATCAAAATTGTGATGGCATGTCTTCGGATCATCCTCAGGGATATTTCCCAGACTGTCGCCAATAGCCCATTGTGCAGCTCTAGTGCGACGTAAATGAACAAATCAAATCAAATCAAATCCAAAACTGACTGATTAAGTTTGATACAAATTTACAAATGGTTCTGTACTTAAAATTAGTAAACAATTTTTTAAGGAAAATATCTTTACTGCAGATAAAATAGTATTTTTCTTAAATATGTAACTGTCCTTAAAATGTAAAATATTTTGAGGACGCCCCCCTGAGTTGTTCTCAAAAGTCACCTTAATTTAAAGAGGTGTGTAATAACTACTGCGTCACATGAAATGGCAGTCAGAATATCTCACGTAAGAATATTCATTTTGAACAACAGAAAAAAATATGGCAACAGCATTTTTAATTGCGATTTTTTCAAAATAAAATTTTAAAATGGCAATACCGCTATTTTCACAGTGTACACAAAACGTAATATTTGTAAACTATGCATGATAATTTGTAAGATTTTGTGAATAATTCATGAAATGAAACTGTATTAACTTTCTGAGGAAAGTAATTTTTCATAATGATCACCCTCTGATTGGTAAAAGAAGACTGCGAATGATATGAAATATTTGTTGATCACTTTGCAATATATGGAATTAAAGTGAAAATCAACCTGTCATTGACATTTTTACCGCTTGTTTGTTGTTATAAGTTGTGCTGTTAGTTCTTTTTCAATAATATTTTGTTTGATTTAGAGTACTTGTTTGTTTTTGACACTCCTAATTTCATTAGAAACATTGTATTTCAAATTTAGTTTTGGATCAGTTATATTTATGCTGTGTATATGAATTGTATTGCTGATTAAGTTTTATTTTAGGTCGAAACACTTGGAATTATTTTGACATAAATCCTAAACTTAATTTGCCAAAGCCAGAACCATGGAAGCAGGTGGAAAAGGAGATAATACATTTAATTCTGGGTGTGTACTAATATTCTATTATGTACATGGAATTATCAAATAAGTATTTAAATTGCATTCAATTTTGCTTCCTTACGGAAAAGAAATTCAATTATCTATGATTTCCTTCTCAATTTCTGTTTATTAAAATATTTTACTCTTAATTTATTTTTTCTGTTTTCTATCATAACAAGAAAAATTTCCAAAATATGTGGTACATTCAGTTGCTGTTTTTCCTAATATTTTTAATTTTTAAAAATAGTATGTTAATTTAGAATAAGTCAGTAATTAGTGATTTTGTAAATAAAAATTTTCTTTCCTATTATTATGCTTATGTTATGAAAATTTTGCTATTTTTATAAAATGATTACTTTATCAGTGTTAAGTTTTTGTTTAAAGTTATTTTAGTATCATGGTTTAAATTTAAACTTTAATTGAGTTGTAAAATTATTAAAACTAATGTTACGTTTTTACCTATGTATCAGAATTAATAGTTTTCCCATGAAATCAAAAAATTGTTTCGTTATCTAGGAAATAATAAATTTTATTTATTTGCATTAATTCTAATTTATATGCATTAATTCCATAAATCAGTAATTAGTGACTTTGCAAGTAAAAATTTTCTTTCCTTTTATTATGCTTAGGTTATGAAAATTTACCATTTTTATAAAATTATTACTTTATCTGTGTTAAGTTTTTGTTTCAAGTTATTTTAGTATCGTGGTTTAAATTTAAACTTTAGTTGACTTGTAAAACTTTTATAACTAATGTTACATTCTTACCTATGTATCAGAATGAATAGTTTTCCCATAAAATCAAATTTTTTTTTCGTTATGTAGGAAAAAATAAATTTCATTTATTTGCGTGTTCAATTTTGTAACTGTGTTTCATATGGCCAGTAACTAAATACTCATATAAATTTTAGGGATCATCTGTTTTTATTTATTAGTTCTTTTTGAAAAAAGGGATAAACAGCAGTTTGAGCTCATAAATTAAAGTTAGAGTTGCCTTAGTTAGTAAGTTTGAGGCTCCCATAGTAGTAAGTTAAAGGCCCTCTGGCAGAATCACGGCGACATTGTCGCAGAATGTTAGAGTTCTTGCAGAAAGTATTTTCTTTTAGGAAGTAAAGAGTTTTGGTTTTCTTTTTTTGCAGAAGTTTTTTTCTATAAAATTATATTTAAAAGATGCATTTTTCGCACATCGAAGGGGAAATTTAAGTTGGTGATTTTTCTATTATTATTTGAGAAGAATGAAAAATCTAGAATAATGAAGTAAAGAATTTCTTTTCTGCAGAAATGTCGAAAGATTTTTTCTCTCGTCCAGAAATCACTCTTTTCATGCGCTCATTTTGTGCCGATATTCTCGTGCCTATGAATATTTAATTTTTAAAGCAATGATTCTATAGCTTTTTTTTTTGGAGGGGGGGGGGCATTTATTTTGCTCAGTTTTTCTGAATCTCGAAACATACATTTAGTACCATCTTTTTGAAGAGTCCGATTCGCGTGATCTAGCCTTCGTTTCGGTAGTTACTGCTACGGATTTCACGATTTTTTTTTTGATGTGATGATTTGTGAAAAAGTAAACAATTAGTGTGTTTTCCTCTGACAAAATGTGAGAATCTCGCCCAAAATATTAGAATGACGAAAATATTACACGTTCATTTCAAAATTAAATACAATTTAATTTCATTCAAATATGTTCTTTTTTTCTTTTTTTTGTAAACACAACGTTTCTGCTCCTTTAAATTCAATCAATAACGTGTATATTTGTTATTATTAAAAGTATCTAAAGATATTGCTAGAGAGGTTTGTCGCAGAAAGCTCAAAAAAATTCTGCCACAGGGGTTAAGGGTTCCTGGACCCAACAACAGATAAGATTGGATAATCTAATGTTTCATTGAAGAAGTTTGCAAATCCATATTTTAAAAATTCTGTACATCTGCTTCAGTGCACAATATTTAGTTTACCTTCATTGATATTAAATTTATATTAAATATTTTCAATTCAAATGCAACATTCATGAAAGGGAAAAAAAACTATATATAGGGTTTTGAAAGTACTTTTAAATAGTCTATATCTAGTAGGGGATATTTCTTCCACTCTATCTATAGTTGTTTTATGCACTTTATCTTTTTGAAAATTTTTGATATTGTTAAATTGTGTAATAATATAAACCTATACTAGACATGTTATTGGCAGTTTTTATTTTGTTCATTAAATTTTTTTAATTTCATTTATAGAAATCAAAAGGAAGAAGATGGAAGCAATAAAGGTTTGACTTGGTTTATATTATATGTAATGAGTGTTTTTAATGCAGCTGTCTCTCAATTATCTACAGTGGATTACTCACTCTATTAGTTGGTTCTAAGATAAAATTTTATCAATGTGAAATGCTACAATTAATACAATTTTTAATTTGTTAAATATTTAGTATAGTAGAGATTCTGCCCATGTTGATTTTGCCACTGTTATTTATTGATGTTGTATTGTTAAACGTTGATCAAAAACTCTTATGACAAATAGAAAAATTATGATTCAATATAATAAAACATACACAAATTACCATTTTGCAGAATTCACATATTTGGTGAATTATGGTGAATATTAATTTGGGGTTGCAATTTCTTACATTATAATTGAGGCAAAGTTCACTGTGATCACTCATTGAATATCTTACAAATTGTATGAGTTAATTAATTAATTCATGAAATTTTTTTAATAATTTATTATTAAATAGGAAGAAAGAAAAGGGTAATCTATGTTTTTTTCTGATTATATTTTTATTGGAAGACTTTGTTTATGCTCATTATATTTTCTGAAGGAGAAGATAATCTTTAATTTTTTGCTCTTAAAATAAATAACTTTGTATGTATTTGAGTCAAAATTACCCCTTAATTTCCTTGAAAGAGAGAAAAATATTTGTGTAAAATAAAATCTATTTACTTATGTTCTGATTAAAAAAAAAAAAAATGGAATGTCAAAGCTTGCATTTAAAAATTTCAACAGTGAAAAAAAAATTCTAAAATTTGACAGACACTTATGGAGCAATAATTTAATAGTTCTATAAAGCAATTTTTTAATAGAATTAATAAAATAAGTTCGAAGCTGAAATCATTGACTATATACAAAAATAATAGACAAAAAATAAATAGACGAATAAAACAATATTGGAAAAGAAATATATGTGCTTTTAGAGCCACTGTTTTCTGATGATTTTTGTTAATATACATAATTAATGAGCAATGATGTTCAAATAATAGTTAATTATCAAACCATTCAAGTAGTCATTTAGAAGGGATAAGATTGTGATTTGAAATTTGCTAATTTTTGATGGCAAAGAACTGTGGTTAAAGAAAAATAGTAAGTTTCAGACTTTTTCAACATTTATTTTCGAATTTTACAGTTTTGAAAATTCAGATTTATAATTTTTTAACAGTTGTTACTTGGGAACCAATTGACCTATAGCGAGAGCTAATTTTTATGTAATTTGTTCAGTTTTTCATGGTATTTCATGAAATATGCAACATGGCCATATTATTTTTTTTTTAAAAATTTAATTTATTGCATCTAAAATTTTTAATTTTTCTGAATAAGATAGTTTTTATTTAATTAATTTTTAGCATTGATACTACTTTCCTGATGGCATTTAAGATTACATTGACATAAATCATGTAGTTGTATAAATGTGCCGCTTTTCACCGGAACTTTTCTTAAAATGGCTCACTATATGGGTTTAACTACATGATTTGTCACTATTAAATTAGAAATTGTTTATTGTACGACCCCATTGCAATGCTATCTTCACCTTCCTTTGGTATAATTATTGTTAAAAAAACAGTTAAATAACATATATTTTTTCAGGAAACTTAAAATTTCAATTTTGTAGTTATTTTTTAAGCATAACATTGCCATGGTATAAATTTTACAAAATTCTATTAAAAACTGTAAACAAAATTTAGACCGCTAGGTCTAATTTTTATCAAGTTACAGCTGTTCAAAAATTATAAAACTGAAAAAATTTTCAGATTTTCCAAAATTTCATAGTCATTTGGAATAAAAAATTTATTAATAATGATATTTTAAATAGCACTATATATGTGTGTCTGTATTTGTTTTTATTTTGTAAAAAACAAACAAACTTGGTTTTGAAAGTTTGTTGATGAAAATAAATATTGATTAAAGAAGATAATTATTAGTTTAAAGATTGATGCTACTTCGATGATCCAAATATTTTGCTTATCTGAAGTAGGTTTGTCCAAATTACTTTAGATAATTGACTTGCCTTTATATTTATGAATATTAATTTTATCTTGTTTAGAAATTTCTCAATTACACAATAAAATCAATTCTTTACAGTAATTATAAGATGTTAATTCTGTTAAGCAGAATTCTTTTAATAAAGTATCGATAAATTTATTTATGTAGATATTTTGAATATGATTTGTTTTTATGTAATGTTACCTTATGTTTCAGAGGGGGATGCCAGGCATTCAAGTGACAGTGATGCAATTCAAGTGCTTCAGTGTACTGACTCATTCTTTGTTGCCGACACTGTAGAAGATGATGAGTAAGTAGAATTTCATATCATTTATTGAAATTTATCAGAAAATATTTTAGGAGCTGCATTTAAATTTATAATTATTTCACTAATAATCTCCCTCTCTATGATTTATTAAATTTAAGCAACTCATAAATCAGTGTTTAATTCTACATAATTGTACTTTGATATTTCTCTGTTTAACCATGATTAGACTTGATATAATCAACAAATAAGAGGAAAAGTTGTTTTACCAAATAGCAGTAGCAAAATCAGACGTTTTTGTTTCAGTGCCCTGATTGATTTTCCATTTTATTATAATTAACACAGCAGGTACAAAATTGTTTTAAAATTGCTAATATTGAATTTAATGCATTAAAAATATAGCGGCTGATTTTGTTACAGGAATTTTTGTCTAGTACTCAGCTTACGAATAAATACTATTACTTTTTATTGTTCTGCTTTGTTGAGTCCTAAAGGAATATGATATGGTCAACAAATAAAAACAAAAACTATTTGGTGGCACAGGAGCAAAATCAGACATCAACTTTTGGTAATTTTTATTATAATTGCACAGCAGATACAAAATTGTAAAATTCTTTTACAATTGCAAGGAATAAATATATTGTGAAAAAATATAGTGGCAATTTTGTTAAAGAATCTTTGTCTAGTACCTAGATAACGAAGAAGCACCATTACTTTTTTATAGTAATTTTTTGGTCATTTTATTACCTTAATTTTTTTAACAACTGTTATTAAGACTTTAAAAAATTATTGCATTGTAGAAAACTGAGATTTTTGGGGTTCAACTATGTGGAATTAATTCATTCTTACGTACTCTGGATCGTTGAACTTTAACTGTATTGCATATGATTTCATCAATCAGTAGAATTTCAATTCAATTCATTGCTATAACAGAAAAATAACACTACAGTTTGACATTTTTGATTATTTCTTTTGTATTTCGATGTTGTTTCACAAAAATGGTAATTATGAAGAAGGTAATAAATTATGTACCCTAATTAATCTAATTAAAGTTTAGTATTAAATTAATCTTCTTTTTCCTCTTTTTTTTGTATTCACCTTGATTTTGCCAATTCTGTAAATTTTAATAATATAAATAATTCTATAAGAAACTAGCGTATAAACTATATCATAAATGTGTTATAATTATCTGAACACATCATATCCTCTATTTTGGGAGTATTAATTGTTTGTATTGATATTGTGTTTTAGTTCAATGATGATACCACCAACTCCTGACATGATTATTCCCAGTACGCAGGAGTTTACATTTGAGGAAGAAAAAAATACTACAGTTCTCTCTGTTGATGAGGTAAAATATAATTGCAGGTCGCTGCATAGAGTTTCATTAAAAATATACGGTTTAAAATTGTTTATTTATTTTTAATTGTTCATATATTCTTATAAACTTTACTCTGGTTAATTCCACAGTATCGTTGTTACAAAAAGGACATTTCAATGCCAAATTTCTCAATGTTTATATTTTATACTAGTAATTTACAACTAAAAAAAACTGCGTTCCGTATCATTTCAACTGCATTTTTTTTTAGGATTACTTATTCTGTTTTGTTACGTAGAGGGCATAAAAAATTTACTAATCAAAAGCTTTGAAATGACCTATTTGTCTATAATTGGAATGACCTATTATGACCTTTTTTAGCTTTTAAAATTATAAGTAGTTGATATTTATAAACCTGCAAATAATAAGCTTTTTTTTCCAAAAAAATCCATTTTGAATTCTGCAATTCACAGTTAATCCACACAACGCTTAAAAAAGACACATATCATCCATTTTTTCAATATAAATGATACATTTTAATATTTTTTATTATCTGCTATCAGTAGTTTTCTTCTTTTACATTTTTTTATTATTGCTGTATGAAAAAGCCTATCAACTTTTTTCTGTTTCTTGGTGTTGGAAAGACAGAAGGCTAAAATATGACAGTTACAAGCAGATTTTTAACTCAGGAATTTATACACTATTTAAAAAAGAAGGCATAAAACTATATTTGAAACACTTGAATTAGTTCTTATAAAGAGTTACTGTGCATGCAGGCTTTTTAAAAACTCTTATCAGTAACAAATCTAAGATTATTCAACCCCCTGATTCATTCTTTTTCCTTCAGAGGTATAAGTGTATCAGGGGCTGTGTGGGGACCATACTCATTTGTTAGTTATCAATCTTATAACTGATAAGAGTTCCAAGAATGTTTACATGTTGATTAAATAAATGACTGAGGATTATTCATTCGGATTCATCATATGAAAGCAAGACGGAAAAAATTCTCTTGCTATCTATATCATTGCTTTGAACAGTAACAATATGAACCAGAAGAAAATACTGCTTTGATGGGTGCTGAATCTATTCATTGAAATTTGTACTTCCTCCTGCATTCATATTTTGAATTGGTTATAAATCTGCTTATTTTGAAATATTATCTACCTTATGTGCTACTTTGTTGGAATGTTAGATTATTGTGAAAAAAAAGTTTTTATTAATTTTACCTACCAATTCCTGTAGTTGCTCTTTCCCTAATGAAAGTTTACTTATTTCAGACTTGTACTGAAGATCTAAGTAAGCCTGCGCAGGAAATTATAAACTTAGAAGAGGAGGAAGAAGATCCAGCAAATGACATGACTCAAGACCTTCCTGAGCTTGATGTAACTCAACAGCTGCTATCCAAAAATACATCTGTCAAAAAAGTTGTTGATGATCAAGAAGATGATGATTGGCAGTTAAGATTCACTGAAACTCAAGAAACACAAGAGCTACTGAGCATTTCTAGAATGAGGGAAGCTAAAGGTATCAACAGAAAATCAGTATATTTTTGTCAGTGTGATTCCTGTTCAAACGGGAGATTTTTCTTGAATATTTAAAGTGGTGGTGAATTTTATGCCTTACCATTTATTTCTAATTTAATAAATTTGAGTTACAATGATCTTGATGACTGCCATATCTAAATAGTTTACATAGCCTAATAATCTTGCAATAACTAATTTTCATCATAAATTTTCATTTTCCAATAAAGCTTATAAAATTATCTACTCAAAACATCAATTAGTTAACATTTACAAAAATAGTAATCAACCTGTGATACTCATTAAGACTTATCTTCAGTGGTAAGGTCCTAGGAAATACAAGAGAATATTTGTTATGGCAACTTTAGACTGAGCTGTAAATTTAGTAAAAAAGTGGATTCAACTATTTTTATGCTTAAAAGATATTTTTTCAGTGTTGATAAATTTATTTTACAACAGTGTTTCCCAAGCTTATAACTTTTGTGTACCCTTTCTAAATTTTTCCTAACTCTGTGTAAATATAAAATGAATGTATTGTGTACCGCTAATTAAAAAATGAATGTATTTTATTCTATAAAAAAATTGCACAAAAGTTAAAAATCATAACTGGCTGTTGACCCCACTAATTATTAACTGTTATGTCCGGAAAAAATACCCAATTGAAAAATATGTAATCGTAAATTTTCATGACCAGCTTTGTTTTCAAATAAAAATTTTTGAAATTATTGTTTGCTGTAAGATATTTCGCATAGGAACTCGTACCCCCACTAAACTGTTCTCGTACCCCTGGGGGTATGTGTACCACACTTTGGGAAACACTGTTTTACAAGATCCATTTCAAAGCTTTGCATCTAAAGTTCTCAAAAAAACTAAAGAAAAAATTGTATAAAAAGATTTATAAATGTTTTAAATCAATTCCTTGGATAGTCTTCATTATTTATTATGCAAATCTGTGTAATCTTTACTGTTTGGCACAAGATATACCTGAAATTTTGCGCATCTAGTTTTAAGTTTCTATCAGTGAATGGTTCTCATAAAGCTATTCTGTCTATCAATCTGAGATTTTTATCTAACTTTGTATATATCTATATCATGTCTATCTCTTATTTCAGAAAAAGAATTATCGGATTCCTCTGCAAAAGATTCTACTGAAAATAAAGATACTGAAGCCAGTCCACAAAAGTAAGACATCGATTATCTTTTTATCTATAGTATACACTATTCTATCTATTTTCTAAAATTTAATTTCTAATCTATATTTTAAATATGTTTTCTATTTTTTAGAGTTTTTTTTCTTCTTTTTTGTTTATAGTTTTCTTTTTAGGTTATATTTGGCTTATAGTAAGTCTCACTCCGGGCATCAATTACTAATATTATTAAGATTTCAAATTTGCATATTTTTATTTTAAATTATGTACTCTTATTTATAAGCTGAATTTTAATATGTTACTTCTAAAGCTCTATAACAAAATACTAGCTGAAATTGTTTTGTCAAAAGCTTATTTTTACAACTTTTTATTCTGTTTAAACTGTCTCTTATTGATGGAGTAGTTCTGAATTAAAATAATGAAATTAATTGGCTCCATATATTTTATGATTGTTTTGAGGGCCAATGAATGAGCCTTTAGAGGATCATGTGTGTCATTCTATTCTTTGAGAAGCACAGATGACAGATCAATTTCGCATATTTAATTAAAATGATAAATGTATCTATTATTATTGTTTTTTCTATTATGAGACATCCCTAGGCTAATCTCTGTTCTTTTGATACAAATATTCATAACAGATATGGTTTTACATTGTTGCAGCTGTAATATGTTATTTAAAAATAATTATTATGATTTATCTTTGTTTTGCATATGACAAACAGTACTTTTAAAACTTTCCTATTTGTTAAAGTATCAGAGGGTTTATTATCCATCTATACCATATCAACATTATTATATTTCTCTCAATTTATGTCTGCATTTTTTATTACTTTTTTTAGACAAATTTCTCCTGACAAAATACATAGCAAACCTGAATCCATAAGTCCTTTAAAACTGCAAGGTAATTTGTCTGGTGTAGATCCTGAAAGCGAAGATGAAATTGAACCTAGTCAATCTTGTTTAATCGATTACCAAACGTCATCTACATATTCTGCTTTTAGAGATGAAGTTTTACAAAGTTCTTTGAGTACTCAACGTTCTACTACAGCACCAGAATCTCAAGCCAGTGGAAAAATCGATAAGCCTAGTTTAGATAAAAGTTCTGATATCATCTTAATCTCTGATTTACCTAAATCCCCAGCAAAACTTAATCTCCCAAGCCCAAAATCTAAAATTGATCAAATTAAGAACAAACCATTACAAATTATTGACATTGATAGTGAGAATGAAATTAAGGAACTTAAACCTAAAACTGATAGTGATATTATGGAAATAACTGCCTCTGGTAAAATAGTGGATGAACCTTTACTAACAAAAGTAGATACTTGGGTTGTAGGTATGAAGGAGGAAACTGCTAAAGAAGTTGTTTCTTTAGGTAGTAAAAGTTCTAAATCTGCTTTAATGTCAAGTTCTAAAGCAGAAAAGAGTGAACTCATTTCTCAAATAAGTGATGCTAAAGATACTGTTGATTTAGATAGTTCAAATGATATTAGCATCTCAGAGCTGGGTGATCCTAAACCTAAACATTCTACCACACCAGACCTTAAAAACACTTCAAAAGACACCACGATTTCAGATCTTGGTGATCCTAAAGATATCACTATGTCTGATTTGGGTGATCCTAAAATCTTTGTAACACCAGACCATAAAAACATTTCAAAAGACACCACCATTTCAGATCTTGGTGATCCTAAAGATATCACCATGTCTGATTTGGGTGATCCTAAAGATTCTACCTTACCAGACGATAAGGACAGAACTTTGCACAATTTGGAAGGCTCTAAAGACAGAACACTATCTGATTCTGGTGGTCATAAACTTGATACTGACCATTCTAAAGATGAATCTGTTTCAAATCCTGTTGAACAGGGAAAGATAACAACAGTGCAGAAAGATGTTTTACGTCTTAGTGCTGGGACTACACCTGATACAAAAAAATCGGATCAAGAAAAAATTACGCCTATTATTTCTAGTGATAATCAGTTTAAAAGTGTAATCAGTGAGTTGAGTTTTGAATGTGCATCTGCAGTTGAAGTACCAATAAGTACTAGTACTCCATGTGAAGGTAAGGATTCTGTGGTGACCACCAAGCCTCAAGAATTAAAAGTGGTTCTGACAGGAATTAAGCCTGTTACTCCCAATAAAGTAAGTTTTTGTTATGTTTTAGATTTTGTCTTCTCTTTATTTCAGGGAGTGCAATAATTAGATGGAGTCAAATAAAATCTAATTTGGTTGCTGAATATGTTTAAGGGAAAGACGCAGTAGAATTTAATTGTGCTTAATAAAAAAAATTTTGTTAAAAAGAAAAACACATTTAATCTTGTGGTTACTCTTCCAAATTGTTTCAAATAAGCTTATCTAAAAAGGATTTTTGCACTCTCATTGAGTTTGCCCTACCTTCAGGTAAAATATGAGCCCCATAACCCTAAGCTCTTAAAGTCACTGTTCCTCCTCTTATTTTGCATTACTCCCTTTTTTACTTTTACTTTAGAATTGGTTTATTACCTAGTCTGATTTTATTACATTATCAGTAGGACTGCAAGTTTGTTGCTGGAAAAAGGTCCCGAAATTCGCGGGATTTCTGATAATTACGCAGATTATAAATACAGAAAAATTTACTATATGAATGATGTAAAGGCCAAATTGTGCAAATAATACACAACAAAAGTATTTCTTTTAAATTTAGGCATTATTAATATTTTTATTTGAATGAACAGAATTTTGGCATTAAGTATTGTACATTGTCAGATTATTCTAATTTTTGATACGTCATTCGTCACTTAATAAATTTATATACTTTGAAAACTATCTTTCTGCATCCACGCTGTTTGTGCACACAGACAAAAATTGAATTGTCACTTTGCCCAATTCTTGGATAGCGTTATGCTTTGTCCTCTAAAAGAAATAACAAGAAGCTGCCCTGGAAAATTTGTCTGGATGTATACAAAGGCAGTAGAAATTTCATTGCCTTGTGCAATAGCATGCATAGCAATTTTTCTGTCAAAGATTTGATTTATAAGATTTTTTTTTTTGTGATTCCTATTTCTTTTTCAGTCTTACTGACTTCAGGAAGGTAATCCTAATCAGTCAATCAACCTCCCTAAGTGTAGACTGTACTTGACAAGATTGGGATTATCTCTGAGCTATTTTCTTGTCATTTTTCTATATTAATTCTCATTCTTTTGCTATTGATTCACTCCCCTATATGTCTATTTAATTTTGCATGTTTAATTTGAGGCTTCAGGAAAGTAAAAAATTCTCTTAAATGAAAATAATAAATTAAAAAATGAAAACAAACATTCTAACTTTAAGCAATTTTTTTTAGAATTGAAACACATTGAAAAATTTAATTAGAAAAAAAAAAAAAAAAANAAAAAAAAAAAAGAACAATTTCGCGGTAATTCGCATCGCGACAGATCTGGGGCCCTATTACCAATTCATCGAAATTTATTCCGCTCGGAAACGATTCCGATCGGAAACTAGCTTTCATCGGATTGCCAATTTCGTAAAACCCACTTTGCCGTAACATGAGCATATCGGAATCCGGAATCGAAATCGCCATTCCACACAATTCCGATGAAATTGAAGTATGTAGGCGGGGCTAACTTTGACCAATTAGAAAATTATTATAATTCTAATTTATTAATCTGGCAACGATATGTTTGTATTCTCTACTTCTATGCGAGTTAAAATCGCATTAACTTAGAACTGAAAGCTTAAAAATTCATACATTTTCAACAATTTTGTGTTCTAAAAGCCAAGTTTGTGTTTATTTGAAGTATAGAGAGTAGTGTAGAGTGAAATTACAACGTAGTATTTTCAAATGGCTTCACGTACAAAAATTAATATTCGCCTCCAAACAATGATTGTGGAATACCTAGAAAACAATCCAGATTAAAATAAAGGAAGCCTTACCGGCATATCTGGCGTAATTACCACTATAAATATTAAATACCAAATCACTACTATATAAAACATGTTAACTTGCATCCATCTTAAAGTACCATAAGATAGTTCAAGGATAACGCAGTCGATAGTAAAATCTTCACACATGCATATTTCAAATAATATAGGAAATTCTAATAGCTAACTTTGGTAATTCCTTTTTTTAGCTAAGATTCTATTGTTTTTTGTACATATTTTTTTTATGTAGCTTTTGTTATTAATTTCCACAATCCGATATTATTCATCTCCACTACTGAATTTCGCCTATGAGTAACACCATTTAAGAAAAAACTAATTGCCAATCTAAATTAATTTCTAAATTTTGTTGTCGGGATATTGGAATACCCAAAATCTTTTAAACCGATAGATCTTTCTCTTAATAGTGTTTCGATCACTCTCTTCAGCAATAGCTGGCTGTATGACGGAAAACAGCGCCATTTTGTTCACTGAAATATACAAATACTTATCGGAATCTAGATTTCGCTTACCCTTAAACCTGCCGGAATGGGATTCGTAATAATTTCGCATCGGAATTTAGTTCCGAGCGGAATCAAGAGCTCGTAATACGACTTAACTGACATTCACGGATTTATGACGTCAAGAGAGTTTCATTTCGATCGGAATCAGATTCCGTGAAGCTGGTAATAGGGCCCCAGCAGCCCTAATTATGAGTGCATAATAACTTTTATGTTTGATGCAAAATCTTTTCTGTCTCTTGTTCCTTCTGTCTTTCATTCAATCAACCATCAATCTCATCAACTATTTTCAAGTACCATTTTTCAAAAAAATCTCATTAAATTGCAATTTTTCTTAAAGTGAAATTTTTTGGAAAAGTGTGATATCTTTAAGTTTGAGTGAAGTACTGTAGGGTAAAGCAAAATAAAAGTTTTCTATATGTGAAAAGCACTACATCCTAAATGTTGTATATAGATTAGTATATTGCTCTAGAGAATTCAGAATTTTTTAATGCACCATCTTTACCCCCCTCTAAAACCTTGAAATTATTAATTTTTTCAAAAAAACAATGAATTTTTGTAAAGTTTTTAAAATTTGTCAGATAAAAACAAACTACCGCTCAAAAGTTGTGCATTTAATAAAATATTGGTTGTGAATTTTTTCAAAATTTTCCTGCAATATTGAAGAATTTAAAAATATATTTATTTGGATTTAAATTTGCAAAAAAATCTTAACGATTTTTTTTTATTACAGCGTTAAGGCCTTTAGCATCCTAAGAATATCTGACCCTGTGTAAATGTCTTACCTTCACAATGGCTCTGATTATGAGCCTAAATTGTTTCAATCAATTCTAATGTAATAGTAATTTATCGAATATAAATAATTTCTGAATAATGATATTTAATCTCTCCTCATTTTAGGGATCTGAGACAAGTAATTGTGCATCTGACGAAAATGGGAGAGTTGATTATGATACACCCAAAGGTTTCTGTTTTTACTTTGTTTTTTAAGAGTCATATACTTTTTTTTAAAAACAAAAGATTGTACTTTATTATGAGGAAATTTTTTAAAGTTATACATTTTATTAGGTTTGCAAAGTATTAAGATGGTGGAACCTCCTCCTCAGACTTTGAAATCAATTTTACATCAAACATCAAGATTATCTCGCAATAAGCAAAAAGTTCAAGTAAGTATGCTTTTTATATATTTTAGGTTCCTGCATAATTTATCTTATTGAACACAATTTTTTCTAAAAAAAAGTTATGTTATCCTCTTTAGTTTCTTTACATATGTCTTGTAAATTTTCTATGGTTGTTAGCTTTCAATGTTTTGCTGAACACTTCGATAAATTCTAATAATGTAAAGTTTTGTGAAAGAATTTTTTTTCCCTTCCGGAAGTACTTAAAAATGTTTTTTACTGTTTAAAAAAATTAAATAAAATCAGATGAGATAAAACTTTAAATAAGCACCTTATGGTTATAGTTTTTAATGTTATTCTTTAGTGCAACTTTGAATAATCTTGTTGGCATCCGTTTTATTCATTATCTTTTTTTCATTAAAAAAATAAATAAAAGTTTGTTGAGTCTAGTACAGCCAATCCTAGTTTGTAATAAAATTTTAGTATTTTTCTACAGTAATAAAATTAATTAGTTGTTAAAGAGGAAAATCATAATCTGGCACTCAAACGTTTATCTCTTCCAAAAATTTGTGCTTCTACATGCTAGAGCAAAATTACTTTTTACAATGATATCAGGAATTCTTGCTACTAATGACGTGAAATATTTTTCAAAAATTTAAGATTAACAAAACCAAATATATAGATTTTATTCCCAAATGAATAGTATTTTGTTTTGTCAGCTCTAAGTATTGTTTATTATTTTTCAATCCTTTAATTAGTTTTCTAAATTTAATGAATATTAAAGCAGAAATAGCTTTGAATCATGTTGATTAGTCAGTCTGTTTGCTAACCAGAAAACAATGCTTAGATGCATTTTATATTTAAAAATAACTAGCCTTGTGCTAAAATTCAAAATTTTTTGTAAAATTCTTAGTTAAATTTTTTTTTCTATTATAATTTATTGTATTTACTGTTGTTGCTGTATGTTGTTTTTAACATAGCTGCCAACTCTACTGGATTTTCCTATTTCTGATTTTGCCAGTTTTTCCTGACCTGTTTTACTACTGTTATCTTAATAAAAATGTTATGTCCTAATCTACTATTATGTTAATATAAATTCTCCCAATTTTTGTATATTTTAGAAAATTCTTTAAAATTGAGTAAGTTTTCTAAAAAAAAAAAACATATTGAAGTAGAAGTTTTGCACAAATTTTTATTTGTTTGAATATGTATATGTAAATATGTATTACTAATGAAGCAAATCTTATTTATAGAAACTAGTTTCAAACTTCTTCTTTTTTTTTTTTTTTTGGTTTTAAAATGTTCAATTTATTGTTATTCAGAACTCACTTTTTAAATTAATTAAAAAATATTTTAACTATCTTTGATGAATCAAATGCCTATTAGTATTATGCATTATTCAAATCATTATGCATAATACTAATTGCATAATTAGTATTATGCATAATGATTTGGTGTATTAATGAATGATTGGTGTATTTGGTGAATAGTTGTATTAATATGCATAATACACCTATTATTATGCATTATTCAAAATCATGAGTAAACATAATGCATAACATTTGAAATATATTTCATAGCGCTGAAACTTTTTCCAAATAGAATGTCAATCATGACTGGAAAAAATTTACAGTTTTACAATTTTGATGACTGTAAAAATCCATAAAATTCACTCTGTGTAAAATATTTAGTTCATTATGCAGCAATTATCATGAAATTTATATTATTTTGTAAAATCTACTGGCTTTTTTCCTATCCATGTTGGCAGCTAGGTATTAATCTTATTATAATTTATTTATGTTTTAAATCAACTGTGCTTATAAATATTTCTCTCTTCCATGTTATCTCTAGTTTGAAAATGGTCAAGAATTAAATAAAGGTGTGAAATTCATAGGATCCTTCGATAACAAACTATCTTTAAAAAAGATTTTCAATTCTGTTGGGTTGAATTTAGACAAAAAGGTATTAATTAAATCATTTTTCAAATATTAAATCCTTATTGTAAAAAATAGTATAAAAGGTTTCTTTATTATTATGTTTTTATCACATATTATAATTTTTTTTATTAATGTTTTCACATATTTTTATGAAGGATAGTCTTAATAAAACTTTTATGCTGAAAAAGTTTGTGCTCTCTTGATTCAATTAAAATCTCTTTCCCTTCTTCATAAGTGTATTCAATTGTGCATTTATAGTGGAAAAAATTCATTAAATATTTGATATTATTGTAATATATTTTATTAAGAAGCTTTATAAATGCATATTCATCTTCTTAATAATGCCCTTATGCATTATTATTAAAGTGTACAGTGGGCTAAAAAAAAAAAAAAAAAAAGATATCACCCTGGATAACTTTTGTTCTAATTAATTAATGTTAACTGTTTATTAAATTATGGAATCAGACATAAAGTGGTACTTTCTCTGAATAAACTTTCCTTTTTTGTTGCAAATTTTAATTTTTTGCAATCACAATATGCGATGTTTAATAAATATAGCTCCAATAGTTTAGTTAGGAGAGCTATCAAAAGTTGGGGCCCTTTAATGTTAATTTTACTTATTGCCTTACTTTTTTATTGTATTACTTTGTATTATATTACTTTTTTTTTACGAAATNTTATGGAATCAGACATAAAGTGGTACTTTCTCTGAATAAACTTTCCTTTTTTGTTGCAAATTTTAATTTTTTACAATCACAATATGGGATGTTTAATAAATATAGCTCCAATAGTTTAGTTAGGAGAGCTATCAAAAGTTGGGGCCCTTTAATGTTAATTTCACTTATTGCCTTACTTTTTTATTGTATTACTTTGTATTATATTACTTTTTTTTTACAAAATTTAATTTTTTCATTTATAATATGGAATGCATAATAAATATAGTTCCTCAAAATAAAGCTAGTTATAATAGTTAATAATAGTTCCTCAATAATAATAAATCCTCCAAATAATAATAGTTCCTCAAAAAATACCAATAGTTTAGTTAGGAGAGATATCAGAAGATGGGGCCCTTTAATGTTAATTTCACTTATTGCATGTTTTGCCATAATCAGAAAGTTTTTATGGGAAATAAAGCATTTTGGCACATAAATATTTTTAATAGGTTACTATTTTTTATTACTTTATGTAATAAGGGTTGAAAAATTTTTAAACGACAAAATTTGAATGAAACTAGTGGAATTGTTCTTCGGAAAAGAAAGTTAAAAATACACCTTGTTTAAAAAAATTATTAGTGAGAAACTATTCGCCAGATTTTGTTTAATAGTTTTTCTTTTGCCTTACAATTTTAAAGTTTTTTATCCTTTCCTTATTAATTAATATAATACAGAGCAACTGAAAATTACTCTTCTTATTAACGAATTGTATAATTGAGTACAAATATTTTTCAATTTGCTTTAAATCTTCTTGAGGTATAGCTAAATGTGCAAAAAGTGAAATTAACATTAAAGAGACTGCATTAACATTAACTTTTGACTGCCCTCCTGTCAGAAGTATTGGGATCATATTTTCCAGATTGATCTGGTTAGCTTTATGATCCAATTAGAGACATTTGTTTACTGATGTTCAAATATTTTGAAATTGTAGAAAGATTTGGAGTTATGCACTTAAAAAATGACTGTTGAAAAGTGCTTTTATCATATAAAAATTTAAAATATATAATTTGTTAGAGTTTAAAATTATTAATAAGGAAAATAAAAAGTTATCATCTGTGGCCAAAATCATTTAAAATTATTATTCTAAATCAAAATAACAATTCAAGTTCCTTTTAAAAAGCATTTTTAAAAATTAAAAATATTTAATGAGTTAAAGTAATATTTCAGATGATTACAAAGACAAATATCTATGATAAGATCGAAAATCTGCTTGCAGATGCTAATTCGAAACTCACCGTTAAAAATCTCCCCCAACTTATAAGTGAGAAAAGTGCTTAAAATTTTTTCATTGGCTAAGAAAGAATAAAGCATGTATGATTAGCCAAGAAAGATAAGTTTCTTGGGTGGGCATTTCTGTAACTTTAATAGTGACTTGATGTTGCAGTTGCGTTATAGAAATCGTCTACAATCCTATAGCTATAAAAAAAACTAAGAGAGATATAAATTAAAGGAGATCATTTCAGTCATGTAGGGTGTTGGAGTGATATCTTTTACATTTTAAGTTCTGTACATTCTGGTAAAATTGTGTATATATGTTTTTAAAAAAAACAGCATTTTCTTCATATACAATTAATAGAGTATTTGTATTAAGAAAAATTATAGGTAATGCATAAATTTTATGCAAGTTCATAAATATTAAACTGTATTATATTGATAAAGTAAGATGTATGTTAAAAAATTCATGTTCTATTTTTTAAATGAACGAATTTTCTTAATACTTTAAAGTTATTATAAATGCCTTTATGTATATTTACTATAATGATGGATATTGTCATTTAATAAACTTTTTGCTCTGAAAAAAGTAATGTAAAATTTTTAAGTTTTCTTTAATAAAGTGTTTAACCCCTTAACTGTCACATAATTTTAAGTAAAATTATCATGAAGGTGCCTATTTTTTTTCCAAGAAAATTTAATAAAACTAATTGTGTAACATATGTTTTCATTTTTAGATTTTTGATTAATTTTCTGTTTACATTCTTAATGAGTGCTGTTAAAAATAAACTATCTGTAAATGTAATATGGATAGTCAAGTACTACCATTTGGTGTATAGATAGAGAATTAATCATGATTCCGGGCATAAGAAATGGATTGTTTTAATCTTTTTGGTGCGTTTATTTTGAACACTCCAGTCCAGAAATATCATGGGCACCAGTAATAGAGGGCGAAACTTCTTCTTGTCATTTCACTGAGCTAAGCAGAAGGAGTTAATTATTTCATTCTTTTGTAATTGAATAATGAGTATATAATAATAATTAATTTGTTATTTATTTCTTTGCTGTATTTTAAAAACTTATTTATTGTTATGATGCATTTTTTTTTTATCTTATATTTAATGCAAAAATATTTCCTTAGCAATCTGATCAAATTGTGAGTCTTAAATCTAAGGAAGAGGTTAAAATTTCAAAAATATTTTCATTTACTGTAAGAGAAAAGAATGTTTATTTAGAAGAATCTCTTCAGGTATGTTTTTAAAAACCTTATTGTTTTAAATAATACTAATGCTCAATTTCTACATTTTTTTCTAAAAATCTCCTTATTTTAATTTCTATAGCTTATNACGGTTTAAACCAGTATTATACCCTTGTCATGTCAAAAACCACTTTTTGAAGTCAAAAACCCAACCCTGTTATGGTTTCTATAGCACTAGGCACTATTTTATACCTTTTGATCAGCTCACCTTAATTATGTAATAGTTACTTTTGGCTTAGTGTAGCCAATAGCAGCTCTTGTTTGATCAAACTTAATTTCTTTGGCACAGTGTAGTTAATTTAGGTTCTTGTGCCATTAAAATTAACATTCAGTTTTTACTATAAATTGTTTGGAAGTTGAATTAAGCTCTTTTACCATTCAGTACAGTCCTTTGTGCTGTAAAACTGATCCTGACTCTGACAGAGTTGTCACTCTGCAGAGAAAACTTGTAAATTACAGGGAATTTAAAAATCATCTAAAATAGCAAGTAATTTTGAATTATTCCTTTTAAACTGAGAAAATACTGGGAATTTATTTCTAATTTTCATCTTTTAGAAAATGCCCACCTCTCAAAACACAATTTCATTTTAGTATTGTTATTATTTATATTTTTAGGTATGTTGAGCTATTCCTTATTTCTCTAAGTTTTTCAAGTAATAGTGTAATTAATATAAAGAACTGTATAACTATAGTTACTATAGCTCACAAATGAGTTCAATGTTTGTGTGTTTCCTCTTATTATATTGAATAAAATATGGTCAGGGAAAACCTAGGAATTTTTTTTCCGAATTTAAGTGGCAAGCTTTTCTGAGCCATTAAATTCTGCACACACATCCATAAGCAGGCACTCGGCTCTCTTTTTCATGGTCATGCTAAAATTTTGTTTTTAAAATTGTTTTGTTGTTAAAAATTTTGACTCTTTTCAAATGAAGTAAACAGTTCCTGAGCTGGTATCTTGTTCTCCAAACGTTCATTCCACAATCAACTAGAAGAGTTTCAGACATGACAAATCAAATTTGTACTTTGATATGTATACCCATTGGTTTTTTGTTGGCTACCAAGATCAAACTGAAAATTCTCCACTAACGGGATGAGCAACGCTGCAATCATTTGTGCCATTGAAGTCTCATTCAGTTTGTTGATTCTGGCTTTTGCCAATCAATTCTACATTCCATCTAATTTGTTCAGCATAATATGGTCCATTCTTAATCTGATACTAATAACCTCTTCATCTACCCTAACAACTTACTACTTTAGTTAAATATCTTTAGAAAGGAATGTTCATTATCTTTAATTTTCCTTTTTTTTTTTTGTCTGTTTATGTATTGTTAATTATCTATTTTAAAAATTATTTTAACTGTTTTAATTATAAAGCGTTGTGGAAATTTTATTTCATTTATCACAGTGAATAAATCTTTGTTTAATTTACTTTTGCAACTTATCATTATTCCATGAAATGAAATGATGCATCCAGCATTAATTGCATTCATACAGAAAATTGCATCAATCACAGTCATTTATAATTTTTGTATATTATAATAACTTACCTAATTTTATTTTAATTTGTTAACTTACTGATTATATTAGTTTTTTTTTCTTTTTTAACTTGACAGAAATCTACTGAATTACTATCCCAATAGAAAACAGGTAGTAGTTTTGAACCTAATGATAAAAACAAGGGAACTAATAAACAATATAATGAATTTATTTTGTAATTATATTTTGAGTTTTCTTTTTGAACTTGATCAAAACAATTGAACCACCAATGTAACAGAAAAAAGATAGCAGTTTTGAACCAAACTCTAAGAACAAGGGAACCTCTAAACCAAATAAGTAATAATTATATTTTGAGCTCTTTAATTGACAGTTACAACTTAATATTATTCTTATCTATACCATGATGCGTAGCGCTTTTAAAAAGTGCTTAAAGGTGCTTATTTTTTATTTCCGTTATTTAAAAGCCCTTAAAAGTGCTTTTGTCATTGGGTGTTTTTAAAAAGTGCTTAATTTTCACTTTTCAAAAATTAGATTTTTTTCGTTACCATGTCGATTATGCAAAAGCGTGCTTTTCATATTGTTCTGTTCAACGTTTTCACAATTCATTTCAGCATCAATCATTTTAAATGTTTGATGAAATACTTGCGAGGCCGCATGTGCGTCTACTGAGTTGGGTTCGGTGAGATTCTTGCACTCTCATGTGCAACTCTGCTGCATTTTGCAGCATATTCTCAATTTCAGACTTCATTTTCCACACTCTGATATTGAGCCTAAAAATCTCGATCTTTTTAACTTGGCTAATATAATCAAGAAGAGAATTATTTATCAGAAACTAGTTATTTTATCATGATCATGTAAAGTCTTTGAAAACTATTTTGAATATTGTTAATGTATATAGTGCTTAAAAATATTTTTTTGAGTGCTTTAAAGGTACTTATTTTTTGTTGAAAGATTTGGCTACTCACCCTGTATAATGATTACAAAACAAAACAAAAAAAAAATTACAATTGTCTGTTTTCTGTATAACAGAAAACAGATGATAGTTTGTAACCCAACTATAAGAACAAAAAAGTATCTTTATCAAGTGATTAGTTCCATGCGGAGCAGAATATTGAATTCCTATGTGGGACTAGCTATAATTTCATTTTAAAATTTTTCATTCAATAGAAAAATTCTTATTAAAGGCTCTCAGTATGTGAATTTGTTTTTATTATTCTTTTATAGTTTGAATATCCAGGTATGCATCTTGCAACTTCTCCTCATTCCAGTAGTGGTAGTGGCTCCCTAACAGCAACATCCAGTAGCATATCTATTGTTGGATCTTTGCATTCTCACTCCTCTGCCGATATGGGCGACATAGATTCATCGTCAACATCTAAATCTGCCAACTCATCGAGAAGCCAACTAGACAGTACTGTACACAATGCACCATCTCAGGAAGAAAAGACGTCGACTCAAAAATCAGAACCTAGTAGCTTCTCAACTTTTTTCGATACGAAGAAAGAAAAGGGAGAGGAAAGTGAATCGAAAACCGAACCTGCCATCTCCCCCATCACTTCAACCTCAAAAGCACAAAAGAAAACGACTGTGCGAGGTCGTAAGAGAACGGTAGCTAACTCTAGCTCATCATCTTCCACTGAGAATTCAAAAAAGCGGGGTAGGTATGCGAAAAAGGAATCAGACGCAAGGGAGGAAGTTCCAAGCGAACTAGAAAAACAATCTGTAACATCAGAGGAAACTAAAGCCCCCAAGACAACTAGGGGTGGTAGAAGAAGGGCTTTGGATAAAACCCCTGCATCTGAGCCTGCTTTGAAGTAAGCATCATCCTGTTCATGTATTGATATGCTTTTGAAAAACTAGTTTATATTGGCATTGACAATAAATGTCAATTGACTAGAAAAATTTGTTTAAAAAATCAGCTCAGTCTATTTTAAGGAAATTTTACTGAATGATGTAAAACTCAATCAAAATAAGATTTAGGTAAACACTTAGGAACTATATCAGGAAAATTAGTTTATATTGGCATTGACAGGAGATATTTGTTTCAAAAAATCTACTCAGTCTATTTAAAGAATTTTAATGAGTAACGTAAAAGTCAATTGAAGTAAAATTTAGTTAGAAATTGAAGAACTGTAAGAAGAAAAAAATTTTGATCATCTCTTTTTTTCATAAAATTCTGATCATTACATTAATTGATCAATATGCTTTTAAAAGGCTATTTATTATTAGTCATTCTTAGGTGTTCGGTTTTGAAGTCGACTCAAATTATTAGACATAAAACTCAGAGGATTGAAATAAAATTTAGATAGCGCTGAAGAATATAAAATTCATGAAACTTTAATCTTGTTCATTTATTGATATCCTTTTGAAAGATAAGATTGTCAACCCGTATGACAAAAATTTATCATTTCACACTCAAACAGTAGCAACTAAATTATTATTTTCTGAAAGAAGAATTACTTATCCCTAACGACTCTTTTGGGCCTCTTCTGTGAATTATTTTATTTTATATTATAACCGTCGTTGAACAGCCGACCCAAGTTCATGGGTTTACGACTACTAACGTTCAACTCCGTAGCCTTGTAATTTTGAACCAATCCAGAAGACAAGGAAACTCCTGGATCAGTACCCCCAGAGGTATTGATTTGTTGTGGGAACATGGAGGACTTTGAGACTCGGCAGATTTAACGTGCATCAGTCACCATTTACTACACGGGGAGTCTTCGGCCGGCGAGGATCGAACCCACGACCTCTTGGATATAGGCCCAGCGCCCTACCGACCAGGCTATCCCGGCCCCTCTGTGAATTATTGGCGTATTTGACGCATAGCGCTTAAGCCGTATCACTTGTATTACAATTTGTTCCCCATTAACTACCGATATCTATCAAATCCGAAGCATACCTTTCATTAATTATAATAATTTAATCATAATTTGTAATAATTTATACATAATAGTAAAACTTTAATAATAATTTGAACATATTTACTAAATAAACGAATTCCGCACCCGGCTCGCCCAGATCATAGTACTTGACAGCCGAGATTCTCTCAGATTATCATACCTGTATATCATAACTCAAAAAAAAAAAGAAACGAAGTTTCCGAAGAAATGAGTTTATTTAAAAACATTAGTAATAAAGAATGTCACAAACAGAGTGACGAAAAGAAAGAATACAAAATGATCTGCTTCAACAGAAGCTTAAATACAGATAGCAGGTGACGTCATGATCCACGCAAGAACGACCAACAGCAAATGAAAATAAACTGGCCGATCCCCGCAGACCATGACGTCACCGACGCAAGTTGAATGCATGAGATCGACGACGGAAAATCGAACCTCATACCTTTTAACTTCTATTATTTGTCTAACAGTACTGACATAAAATATCCTCAGTGGTAAACAGGTCATGGGATAGAGTCCCCTTGCTGTTAGGCAGACCATGGGAAGTTTTTGTGGTTTTCATCTATATGTAAAGCAAAGGCTGGTTATTTCCATCAAAAAATCCTCCACAAAAACAAATTTTGTCTAATACTTGACCCAGGAGTTTCCTTATTTTCTGGATTGGGTTCAGAATTACAAGGCTCTGGAGTTGAACATTAGTAGTTGTAAACCCAAAATTGGGTTGGCCGTTCAACATTGGTTATAAAATATGGCCAGCTGGTTTTTTGTTTTAAACTCCAGAAAAATACATTTTTATTAAGAATTCTCATACGTTTTATTGAATATAATATAGCTAACTTGTTTTTTGTTTTTAATTCTGGTGAAATAGGTTTTTATTAAGAATTTTCATCCAGTCATGAATGAAAAAAATTTCCTAAAATTTCAATTTTAAATTTAGGCAGCTATAGTATAAAAAATTTTATAACGAAAACTGAGTTTTGCAGTAAGGGAAAGTTCCTTCGGAGTTATTGAAAAAAAAGAGAGTATTTTGCTTACTAGGAGCTAATGTTAAGATTATGTCCAGAAAAATGTCCTAGTTTAGTTCTTTCCTTATCGTTGATAAAAAATTTCCTTTAATTTCAATTTAAAATNAGGTGACGTCATGATCCACGCAAGAACGACCAACAGCAAATGAAAATAAACTGGCCGATCCCCGCAGACCATGACGTCACCGACGCAAGTTGAATGCATGAGATCGACGACGGAAAATCGAACCTCATACCTTTTAACTTCTATTATTTGCCTAACAGTACTGACATAAAATATCCCCAGTGGTAAACAGGTCATGGGTTAGAGTCCCCTTACCGTTAGGCAGACCCTGGGAGGTTTTTGTCGTTTTCCTCTATATGTAAAGCAAATGCTGGTTATTTCCATTAAAAAGTCCTTTACAAAAGCAAATTTTGTCTAATACTTGATCCAGGAGTTTCCTTATCTTCTGGATTGGGTTCAGAATTACAAGGCTCAGGAGTTGAACATTAGCAGTTGTAAACCCAAAATTGGGTTGACCGTTCAACATTGGTTATAAAATATGGCCAACTGGTTTTTTGTTTTTAACTCTAGAAAAATATGTTTTTATTAAGAATTCTCATACCTTTTATTATTTTGGCATAATTAATTAATAAAAGAAGTGTAAGTCTTGCAGTTAAAAAAGTTATTATAACTTTCATAGATTTTGAAAAAAACAACCTGACCTTCTATTCATACACCTGATATGAGTCAGTAATTGTGATAGATTATCTGGTAATATTAACTAACTGCTATTTCCATTTTCCGAGGTATGCCACGAGAATTGGTGAGTATTATGTGCTCTCCAGTGTTTGTAATTCTTTTTGGAATGTATTTGTTGTTAAACTTTATAATTCATTCTGAATTTTGATATTTTGTTTGAAATTTAACTGCTGTTAGAAAAATTCACAATTTTGTCTTCTCTTTACTAGAATTGAAGTGCAAGAAATCAGCCCTGAGCAAGAAATTAATGATGGCTCTCCAGTTGGAAATATAATTCCTGGTAATTTATATTTTATTATAAATTTTAGTGCAAGTATTGTTTCTGCTCTATTTGCTGCCCAATACTGAATTTAAATTATAAAATGCGCATTCAGAAATTATCTAAGATTTTGTATATTATTACTATAAGGTGAATAATTTTCTATTAATAGTTAAAAACATACTTTCTTTTAGATTTAATTGAAACTTACTTTACAGGGTATATCCTGCCATTTTATCACTCTGTTAAAATTACTAATTTTCAAAAATACTTTTAAACTGAAAGCTGATTTAATGTTCATTTGAAAATAATGTATTATCAAACATATTTGTTTTTAATTCTAGCAAAACAATCCTCTTGATCATAAGCAAGTTAACTGCTAACAAATATTTTCCAGAGTGAGCTGCCAGATAATCTCATGGTTAACTTTAATATGCCATGAGTATAATTAGTGTTACCCATTACATATATTAACTGCCATCTACCTGGATCTTACCATATAATATATTTGATTTATTCTGTTAATAATTTAAAAAAAATTTTTTATTTCAACTTAACAATGGGTTAAAGCGTGTGTTGATGTATTCTTTGTATTTGCATGAGACAGCTTACAGTTATCTTTTCTTTAATGCATATACTAACTAGGTATGGTTAATAAAAAAAAAACTTAATCTAAAAAGAATTATTCTTTTCTTTTTATTGCAGGTGTTCGAGTTATGGCTCGTTGGACTGATGGTTTCTATTATCCTGGAGTTGTTCAAAGTAAAGCTAAAGAAGACCGGTCAGTTTGATTGTGTTTATTAATTTATTAAGTATTTTGCATGTAATTTTTAAATAGTGATTGCAAAATACCTATCTGAATATTGACCATTCTCCTCGTAGCAGAGTATTTAAACTTCATGCTCTCTTCTAGATTCAAATTGTTCTTTGTTTGCTATTTGCAAAATGTATCACTAATAAAAATTTTGGTAACTTTCTGATACATTTATAGCATTCTGCCAATAATTTTAATATTCTAAAGAGGAAATAGCTGAATTACTAACTGCTGAACACTAACTAATTACTAATAGCTGAAGACTAACTCAAAATCTTATTTATAATTCTCAAAATCTAAACATATCCATTTATATTAACATAGATATGTTTAGATTTTGTAATTTTTTAGTCTTATTTCTAGTTTTAATGCTAGGTAACTCACGTCCCGTAACTTTTTTAAAAGAAAAAGAATTAATTTTATCTTTTTCTTATACTGATCAGTTTTAGATAAACAAAAGACCAAATTTTAAATTTTTGCAGGTATTTCTTGAACAGAATTTTTGTTCTACTTTTTTTTAAAAAATCTGTTTTGCAGAAAAGTTAAGATAAGCGTAAAAAAAAAAAAAAAAATCTTGAATATGAAAGAAATTCTTAGATAGCAAAATTGTATTTTTACTTATATCGACACTTTGTCACACCTTTGATTTTAAGATAGCTGAATATTTTTAATATTGATTATACATTTTCTTACTTTTAAAAAGTATTTTCAACCATAGTCTTGTTCAGGGTTGCCACAGGCGACTAAAATGCAATTATTTGCAGCTATTTTTGGCATAAGGCGACTATGGCAAGTTTTTTTGCCTGAAAAGGCTAAAAAAAGCAACTATTTTCAGGAAAAGGAGACTATTTGGAGACTTTCCTGAACTCCTAGCGATGTTGCAGATTTTCCACCCAAATTATGCTTTAAAAAAAAAAAAAAAAAAAAAAAACAAGATAGTTTCTGAACACATTGATTTTTTTTTCTTAAAAAATAAAAAATTTTGAATTGTGAATTTGAGTGTTCACTTTTTAATTCGTTCAATCTGCACAGACTCCATTGTAAGTCTTTTTCATTTCTCAATTGCCTTTTCAGCGATTATTGCCACAAAATTCCGCATGATTTAAAAAAAAAATAAGTAATTTTTAATACGATATTACGATGCGTGAATATCGATTTTGAGTAATCACTTTTCATTTATATATATAAACATTTACGTTTATATAAAAGTTATCATATTTGTCACCAACTTGACTGAATGGATCATGGTATATGACAATTGAGTCATTAATAAAATTTTAGTCATATTTTTGATGAATTTTTGTTCTTATTTAGGCAACTATTTTAATAGTTTTTGGCTACTATTTTCATGCTTTAGGCTACTAAAAGCAGCTATTTTGTTCATTTTTTTCTGTGGCAACCCTGTTGTTGTTCTCATAGGCCATTAAGGCAATTTGGTGCTATTATTCTTGTTTTCCAGTGGCGCCATCTATGGCCAAGAATTCGACTTCTGCCACACTCATACGCTGCACACGTATATAGGGCGGACCCATTCATTCATCCACAGATTGTAATTTTTACCTGAATCAGAAAACGATCAATCTCAAATTTAGTACCCCCAGAGGCATTGATTTGTTATGGGAACATGGAGGATTTTGTTACCCGTCAGATTTAACATACACCAGTCACCATTTTCTAAGCGGGAGTCATCGGCTCACAAACGTGAGTCCCTGCTAACCAGGCTATCCCGATCCCCATCATAGTCTTAAAAATCTAAATCAGTTAGGTATACAGATGAAACACTTGTACTAGAAAAATACCTTACTAAAAGCAATTTTTTTTCACTTATACTTTACCTTTTACTAATTTACCAACTACTTGAAGCTAGAATATTTAAGACTTTTAAAATTGTTCTTTACATTTATGACCTATTTTTTTTTATCAATAAATTAATTGTAAAATTTTTTAATTTTTGTTACAGTTGGTCTGTTTGTTTTGATGATGGCACTGTCAAAGCTATCAATCACGAAAGCCTCATCAAAGCTTCCTATATCCAACCTGGAACCAGCATTCTTGTACAAAATCCAGAGAGCTATTTTGATTCTGGAATAGTGCGTGGTTTGTTCCGTGAAGGCAATAAAGTTGGCTATGAAATTGAACTTGATAATGGAACAACTAAAAAGTAAGACGCATTTTAACAAATGTATATTTTATACCCTTGTATTTATAAAGTTTTAGGGGTAAAAAAATATCAAAATATAATCAATTTAAAAAAATTATTAAAAATAAATTTAAATTATTAAAAAAACTTTAAATTATCTATTGCCAATTTTTTTATCTTTAAAAAAAAGGACTTTTTATTCAGATGTCAGATTTTATTCAGGTTCCTCAAAAAGTCAAACCTTTGCTTTTAACATTACATAGTTTTGGCTTCATAAAGTTTTTCTGAAACACTGTTAGTTCCCCGATTTTTCAGACTTATTTCTAATCTCATTAATTTAATATAATTTTTATGTGATTGAAAGAAAAGGTAATACCTGTTATCTTTGTGGCGACTGTTGTAGTTGGGTAGCTTTAAAATTTTATTTAGAACTACTCAGCCAAATTAGATTATTTACCTATTTGTGGTTTGATCCTTATTTATCTTATATATATATATATATATATATATATTGGGAGTACAAATTAGTTCGGTCTGGTTTTTTTTTCCAGTAAAAAATGCATTTATTTCAGAACAAAATGAATGAACAGATTAATCAAGTATTGTCCATCGCTGGCTACTACTTTTTCCCATGTCGAAAAAATGTCTCATATTTTGTGGCGATCCAAGTTAGGAGCCAATTTTCGATTTCTGCGAAAGAAGTGAACCGGTGACCTACCCAAACGTGCTGCATCCATTGGAACAACCAGTAATCAGAAGGAGCAGTGTCCGGCAAATACGGCGGTTGCCGTAAAATATCCCACTCGAGCGTTTCCAAATAATTTTTTGCGACATAAGGCCGACTGTTATTATGCAGAAGAATAACTTTGTCATATCTTTGCTCATATTCCAGCCGTTTTTCTCCTGTTCCGTAATGCACGACTTAAGCAAATCAATTGTAGCCTATACCAATTGCCCGTAATGGAATCGCCAGGCTGTAGCAGCTCATAGTATACAACACCATTCTTCATTCATCATTCTTGAAACTTCGAAACCATTCCCTACATGATTTATCAGTTGGAGCATTGTCGCCATAAAATTCCACAAGCATTTGATGCGCTTCAGTTGCACTTTTCTTCCAATTAAAACAGAAACATAAAACCTCCCTCAAATGCTGCATAGTTACCACAAAATTTGATATATCCAACAAAGTAAAAAACAGGATTTTTGTATGAAACTCTAAGCGATATAAACTAGGAAACTTTTATTCTTGCATAACTTCCATTCCCCAAAAAAAAAAAAAAAAATATTGTGCCGGTCGTCGGTCTACCATAGCACATGTTTGCTACAGGCGACTAAATTACGACTATTTGCATCTATTTTCGGCCTGAGGCGACTATGACAACTTTTTTGCCTGAAAAGGCTATAAAAAAAAAAAAGCAACTATTTTCAGGAAAAGAAGACTATTTGGAGACTTTTCCCTACTCTTAGCTATGTTTTTTAGCATAAATTGGGTTGACAACCTGCGGCCAGCGGGAGCTTTTAAACACAATGAATTTTTTTTTTCAAGAAAAGAAGTAAAATATGTTGAAAATTTTGAATTGCAAATTTGAGTCATCGCTTTTTAATCCACTCAATTTGCTCAGATTCCGTTGTAAGTCTATTTTGTTTCTCGATCGCCTTTTCAACGGTTATTGCTACAGAAAAAAAATTATGCGTTTTTTTATGTAAAAGTATTTTTTTGAATGAATTCTAGAAATTAAAAGCATTTAATTTTCTGCAAATATAAAAAAAAATTTATATAGAAATTTATTGTTAGAACACTAACGTTTATATAAAAACTATGCCACATAACTTTATTAAACGAATCATGGTATAAGAACAATTAAGTCATTTAATAAAATTTTAGTCATATTATTGAAAAATTTTTGCTCTTATTTCGGCAACTATTTTCACGCTTTAGGCTACTCAAAGCAACTATTTTGTTCATTTTTTTTTCTGTGGCAACCCTGATAGCAGGGAAGCCAACCCCTATGCAGAGGATCAAAATTTCGATGGCATGTCTTCGAATCATCCTCGCCTCAGGGATATTTCCGAGACCGTTACCCATTGTGTAGCTCTAGTGCAACGTAAATAAAGTTTCTATATTCAATGAATCATTTTGTGTTTTAAGATTCAAAAACAGTTAAGGTTTTTTTTTTTCATAGGGGGAGTTGCATTCATGATTTTAACCTGTTGCGACAAAGATTGCAAGAATATTATATAGTCTCACTAATTCAAAACTGAAAGATTTTATAAATAGTATTTGATTCTGACAATAATATATACAGTTAGACCTCTATTAAACAAAGTTTCTAAATCTTAGATGAAATGCAAAAAGTATCGTGGATTATACTGCTCTTGGTGAGTTAAGCAATTAGTAAAATCTAATCATGGTCATTGTTCCCCAAAGAAAATGTTAAAAAAAAGTTTCAAATGTTCAGAAATATTTTGATCAATATAAAAAATTTAAAAAAATTGGATCTCAAGGAAAAGTTTGTTAAATAGAAAATTCACCTTGAAGTTATTTTATGAAAAAATTATTATGTTCTTCAATCTACGAACAATTTCACAAAATGAAAAAAATTGTTTAATAGAGGTTCAATTGTATTTCATTATTTTTTTAATATGTTTGTTATCAAAAGTTGAGAATTTAAAGTTTGAAAACATTTTTTTTAAAAATCCTCAGTTTTACAAATAATATTTTGATAAAAGATTTAAAGCTCTTTTTTAATGCAGCTTTTTGTTTTAGCAAAAAAAAGTCTTGCCAAACATTTTTTTTTTTGGTTAAAAATGAATTAACAGAATTAATTTCTAAGCATGCTATAATATTAGATAACAATTATAAGAGAACAAAAGTTTGAAAAATGTTCATTTACTTTAAATGTAACTAAGTAATATAATATATGCACTCCATATCATATTATATTTTTTTTCCTTCTAGATATCCCAGAAAGTCAGTTGTATTTTCTAGTGACCAAGCCAAACTAATAATGAGCTCTAGACCTCCTACCACTCCTGCGACAATGACTATTAATTTAGGTGAGTCGTGGAAAATTGTATGTCATTGATCTTCAGTCAACTCCTGAATATAAATACAAATTACAATGCATTTATCCAGTGAAACATGATTAACAAATACTTATAACAATAATATCTGTATTCCCCCATGGTAGGATAGTGGGGACATTGTCGCAGAATGTTACCAAGTTCTTGCAGAAATTTTTTTTTTTAGTTATTACCATTAAATTCTACATATTTTTTAAAATCCTATATTTTTTTATTTGATATTTATTACAACAACTGAATTTCGAAATGAAAACACGCATTTAGTAACCCCTTTTCACAATAGTCCGATCAACGTTATTTCACCTTCTTCTTCTTTTTTTTTTAGTTACTGCTACGGATTTCGCGATTTTTTTATTATAATTTTTAATGTGATGATGATTTACAAAATGCAAAAAAGGAAATTTTTTGTGTGTTTTCCCCGTACAAAATGCGAGAATATCAGCCATTATATTAGAATTAAAAAAATATTACATATTCGATTAAAAAAAAAACTATATAATTTTATTGTATCTGAACGTTTTTTTTTATAAAGCAGATTCAGGTTTTCATTACTTTAAATCAATTAGTAACATGTATATTTGTTATTTTTAAAAGTATCTTGCAGAAAAATAGGCATGTTGCAGAAAGCCCGAAAAAATTCTGCCACATGGCTGTATTCACATTCTCTAAGAACTAAGAGTACAGGTTTTAGAAACGATTAGATAATTATTTCAATATTTACTAAATTAGGCTTTTAAAAAAAACAGATTAGTACTATTCGTTTTTAAAAAATAGTGTAGGGATATATTTTCAAAACTTATTCTTACACCATTCTTGCTCATAACGCTTGTATTTGCGACATTATTGTTGTCCATTAGTATATTACTTCCTTTACAAAAATATCAAAATCAAACTTGCATTTTTACAGATAATATTGTAGGTGGCAAAAGAAAAAGAAAATCTCTTCAGTCGCCAGATGAACCTCCTACAGTAAAAAAGCCCTCAAGAACTACCCGTAGAGAAGCCGCAAAAGTTGATACACATGTAGATATATCTGCAATTGAGTCAACAGAGACTAGTTCAACAGAAGAACCCGAGACTTCTAAATCCAGTAAAAGGATAACTAGAAAGAGAAAAGCGGCCGTTACTGCTGTGAAAAAGACAAAGTTAACTACACAAAGTATGTATTTCTCTTTGTCTTTTTTACAAAACAATTATTTTTTGCTTTCTTATATAAACCATCTGAAAATATCTTTTTAGTTATTGTAGGGTATTGCAGGGTGCATACAGAGATTAGAGTCCCCAAGGAGAACTTGGAACTACTTATATTTCTAAATTAGTCCTTAGAAACTCCTTAGATTATTGTGTTGCATAGACGAACTTACTAAGTATGCTGATGAATTTGTTGTCCAAAAAAGGAAAATAAATTATATGACTTAACTGTTTAAATCTAATAGTTTAAGAAAACCTTTAAAAGAAAAGAAAAATTGAATTGCAAGAGTTAGAAGAAACAAATAACAACAAATAATTATAATTTTACATGTTGCAAGCAAGCTTAATTAAGGATTTACTGGGATTTTTTTTTTTTGTATAAAATGCCTTAGATTTTCTTATGTATTCAAATTTAAAAATATAAGATTGGTAGGCTTTTATGTTAATCTTTAACATCTGTACTTTAACAAGATTTATTAAAATATTTGAAACTGAAAAATGTATTTATGTGTAAAAGTGATAACTTTATTTATTTTTCTTGATTAAGTTTGACTAAGTCAAAATTTATTTCAAAAGGGCTAGAAAAAATATGCAACTTATACATTTTTGCGAGTTCCTTATAATAACTGCTTTTTAATTTAAAAAAAAAAAAAAAACTTTCTAGTTATCTTTTACACAAAGTTTTTTAATTTTTGATAAATCCTTAAAGTTTTGGACCTTCTTGGATACTCCTTGGATTTCTTCTAATCTCTGTATGAACCCTGGATTGTATTTTTAATTATTGCATTAAAGAAAAAAAATATCAATTATCAAATCATATATCAGCATCTAAAACATCAAATGTAATAAATAACTAAATTAGCTTTTTTTCTCCAAAATTAGTTTGTTTTTCTAGTAATTGTTCTTATTCTGGTATGTATAAAATTATCTATTGAAATAACTCTTTATGTTATATAAACTGAAACTATCGTTTTTTTTTTTTTGTTTTAAGTGTAATTATGTTAGACTGCTTGTCATTTTTGTTTTAGGAAAAAACTCGAAGCTCTTCAAAGATTACGCCTTTATCTTAACAAAGACAGAACGTAAAATTGTTCCTCCTAAATTTTGTGAATCAGATTGTACAGAAGGTAAGGTATTTGTTCCCTACATCTAAAACATCTTTTATTTCCCAAATAAATAAGTTTAGTAATTTTTTTTTAACTTTTATCTTCCTTATTATTGGTTATAACATTATTATTATAAATCATTATTTAAATATAATAAATTGAGCTCTTTGAGTTTTACAGTTCAAAACAATATTTTTATTTTAATCTATTTTGTATCAAATTAGACTTTTTTTTAAAAAAAAAAAAAAAAGAAGTTTGTTACTTAAAAGTTTAGTTCCTTTCTGCTGTGAATTTTTCACATTGTTATTGCTGTAAATATTACTTCTATATTACTTGTTTTTGGGCTGTAAAAATTACTTCGTGAGGACCTTGATGGTCATGATTCAGAAATATGGGTTCTATGTTTCTGAGTCCCCTTAGCGATGTTATCTTTTTTTTTTCGTCTTTGCCTTATAATATCTTTTAAAAATAGTTTTCTTTAGTAGGTATGTTGTGTGTCATATTTTTCTATTGACTTGAACATTTGATACTTTATTGTAAAAAAATATAACCATTTATTTTTGCTTGTGGTAATAATTTATCTTTAAAAAATTTCTGAGCTGTAATGATTTTTATGATTTATAGTCAGTAATTTAATTTCAATTATCAGAAATAATTTTAATTAAAATTCAAAATGCCATCAAATTTTGATAACACGAATTTTTCAATGTCACGAAAAAATCTCAATTCTCTACCTGTTGTTGCTAATACAAAAAAAAAAAAAAAACTCTTCTAGCTAAATACATTTATTTGTAGTTCTCAATTTCACAAAATATTTTCGATCACAAAAATTTTAGTTGCCAACATTCCTTTTTAATACATCCCCAAACTTGTTTTGAATAAAAATTAAAAAACTTCATTGAGAGCACATCTCAAAGAAGTAAAAGTAGATTTTTTTTTTCTAACTTCATTACAAACTTTACTTTATAAGGATTTGTTCTAATTTTTTAATACCATTGTATAAATATCAACTAAATTGAGAGAACATCTCAAAGAATTAAAAGTAAATAATTATTTTTTCTCTAACTTGATTACAAACTTACTATATAAGGATTTGTTGTAATTTTTTTAAAGTCCTTATATTTGCGAATTTTACAACATATATGATAGATTACAATAATAATCGATGTTCACCTGTGTTGAGGTGACAAACAAATTTGGATTTATAAAAATAGTGATGCAGATTTGTTCCAAAAATTATGCTGTCTAAGAATTTTAATGAATCCAAATGAAACTGTTATTGAGGAGAAAAAAGTTACATTGAACACTGTTACAGTATATGGTGATAAGTAAGAATCAGAAATCTTAAAACTAAAGCACATCAAAAACTAAAGCGTCAGAAAAGGAAGATGATGAAACAAAAGAACTACTCCAAAAATTTGAAACAAAAATGTGAAAAATGAAACAGCAAAGTTTTTGGCATTATTTGAAATTAATGTTTTTAAAAATATGTATATTTTATGCAATTTTTGAAATGTTCCTGTAGTTATTATTTTAACTGAATTGTTAAAAAAAAAAAAATTAGATTTTCGACATCACAAAATTGTTAATGTTACCCTTCGTTTTTACAACAACAAGGTTCGACTTTGAGTATTTTTTCTTAGTTAATTCAACATTTCATAATCGACAAATAAAGCAAAACATAATTTTGTTTTAGTTATTTCTATAATTTTTTCGTTATTCTATATTCATTTATATTATATTATTTTGTGTCATTTATATTATATTAATCTTTATAAAATTAGATGAAGAAATCAAACCATACGACAAAGAAAAACTTGTATCTCTTATCTTGCCTAGAGGTGGTACCGTGCTGGATCAGTTCGATGATATAAAAGTAAGTTTAAAAAATTTTATAAGTTAAAAAAATTTTTAGAAGCTCCAGTTTGTTAGTAATTTTCTTGAAAAAATTGCACTGAATTAAATAACTCTTTTTTTTTCTTTCCAGAAATGTTCGAAGCCACATATATATTTGTTAGCCAATACCTACCTTAGAACCATGAAATATATTCAATGTTTAGCATCTGGTATTGCATGTATCAAGCATCATTGGGTACAAAACTGTTGTGATGACGTAATTAAAATATTATTTCAATTTCTACAATATTCTAAATAAGATTTTGTTTCTGTTTTTTTATGAATTTTTTTTAATGTGTCATGTATTATAGAATTCAATATAGTTGCATGAAATTATTACTATATTTAAGTTTTTACATCATTATCACCAATATGCCCTTTCTTACTTTATTTATTTTTTAATGTAACATGTTCATTATAAAAACTATTGTTAAGCTTTAGCTCTTTTGCAATTGTGCAATTTTGTGGAAATAGTTCATTCCTACAAAACTGTTTCCTATTTTAATAATGGGTGAAACTATATGCAGTTTTAATAATGGATTTTTATGTGCAGGACAAATTTTTAAAAAAACAAAAACATTTTGATCACATTTAGTCATTCTGTGATCAGATAAATTAACGAATTTGATATTCAAAAAGTAAATAAAAAGGAGTGGATTGAAATATTTAGAAAAAAAAAACAAGGAGCAAAATAAAACATTAGAAATGAAACTTATCTTCCTCAATATTTTGAAATTTTCTATGTCTCCTCATTATATGCAGGATGAATAGAAGCCTTTTACTTAATGATTAATTACATTTTCACACCTCAACAAAAGGTAATCAGGAAGAAAAAAATCCTTAATTTACCATGAATATATAAAAAGTGCCCCCAATGTCGCTTTTGAATATAAACTAGCGTTTAAAGGGAAAGCCGTTTTCTTTAATTTTGTGTAAATATTTTAGAATGATGAAAAACAGCTAATACAAGAAGAGAGCAATCAAGCAATTAGATCTTGAACTATAAATATTACCTAATGAAAGGGACTAGAATAGTACCCTGAAAATACATTTACTGATATCACTGTATAATTATATCTATAAAAAAAAAACTAAAAATTATATAAAGGAGGGAATAGAAAACAGAGATGTATATTTTTAGTCTCTGTGCATCTATTGGTGGGGGGGGGGGATCGGTGCTCTTTTCACAACAAAATCAAACATTTAGTTTATTTTCTTTCTTCCTTTTTTGTCATATTTGCCCATATGGACCAACTGTGCCCATCTCAGTTTTCTTGACCTTGGGCTCTGGGGTGCAGGAGCTGATGTTCCGGTTAGGTGGTCAACCTTGCTCTGCCCGAGGATCGAAACCAGGACCTGTGGCACGGGAGCGAGAAGCACTACCACTCAGCCACTGGGCTTTTGTCATATTTACATGCTAATATAAAAACTTCATACGCTCAAAAAATAACATTAGTAGAAAAAATTTACATATTTTGAGTGCTCAAAAAACAGTACCCATTTTTATGATTCACCAGATGTGAATCGAAACGAAAAAATATTTGAAAACCTAAGGTTTACCAACAAGAAATATGAGAAAAAAATTAAGATGGAAAATTTTTTTTAAAGAAATTAAATTAATTTTTTAATTAATTTAATTATTATAGCAACAAGATGAGTTGATGTAACAGGGAGAGGAAAGAAATTTCCATTATCAAATTTAAATTCATGCCCAAGTTTCCAACAATGTACAGCAATAAATTATTTATTGAATTCTTGGTGTGTTTCCTTCTTTAAATTATGCTTGATTGGTTTTGCCTGATGTAGTAGAAGTTGCATTGCCGAGGTATGTGGTTAATGAACCAGCAATTTTCTATCCCAAAAGGATAGAAGACTAGAATGTCCCAATCTAAAATCTAGTAAGAACTATGATTGATAATGTATATTTTATTATTTGTATTTACTTTAAAGAAAATTTATTTACAGGGAGAAATACTTTCAGAAAGAGATTATGTTCTTCCGGCAGGAATGTCTATAATTTCAAATATAGTTGTTGAATGGTAAATTTACTTGTTTTCATTTAGAAATTTATTGCATTCCTCATTGTTAATTGATTTAAAAGGAAATAGTTACTAACTTTTATTGTAAGAACAAATAAAACTAGACAAATATATGTTTGATTTATATGGTGTATCGAGCCTTATTATTGATCAGGCTTTTTAGTAACAGTTTAGGGAAGCAGTTGGTTAGAAATTTCTCAAAAGTTATGTTTGTGTTGTGTTTTGAAACATTTCATAATTATTTCAATTTTTGAATTTGTGAAAAGTTTCATGCTATTTGGAATTCAAGTACCAATTTTAATTTTTGTTGTAGTAAATTATAAATGCAACTAGTAGTATAACAGGTTGGACACTACCTTTGTAAGTAGGAAAAACTCCTGAAATTCCCAGGGATTTTGAAAATAAGACTTGAAAACCTAGATGAAAAGTCTCGAAGTGTCTTTTTGGACCAGTAAAAGGCTTCCAAACAAAATATTCTTTAATGGACTTTTTTTAATCTTTTATCAGTTATAATTAGCACACATTTTAAAATAATGGGTTTTGAAAATATTATTAGGCATTAAAACTTTTTGATATAAACTTATTTTATAAAAATTTATATTGCTGTATTATCTGTTCTCAATGCTATTTAAGTAAATGCTTTTAATTATAGCTTCTTTTTTTAAAAAATTAATATTGAATTTATTAAATACGAGTAGATATGAAAAAATGAAAATTTTTAGATTGAAAACTTAATTTTTATTCCAGGAAAACTTTTTTAATTTGTTAGTGAATTCTCAATGCATAAGTTATGTCAATACATATAATTTATTTTTAGAGATATGATCATTTAAACCATAAAACTTTTAAATTTTTACTCTTTGGGAATTAGGTTTTGTCTGGGGTGTGGCCACCTTGTGTACAGTTTGTTTTGTTAGTAGTTTACTGAATAGTTTCTTAAACATTTAATAACTGTATGGAAAAAATAATTTGTATTAATATCGCATGAAAGTACAAATGTGCAATTTAACTCTTTTTGTTATTACTTAAGTTTTTTTAAATGAATTTCTAATTTTATTTTCTTATGATATTTGAAACAAAACCATGTTGTGAAAACTGTTCCATCCTTCACTTTTCAAAATGTATAAAGATTTATCAAAATTATCTTAAAATCCCCAGATTGATAAAGATTGTGGTCAGGTGCTCACAATTTAAAACTTTCAAAACTCTAAGGGATCATTCAATTCCTGAAATTTTTGCCAGACAGGCTTCTATGATCAGTTTTGCCACCAAAGTTTACCTTATTTCGAATAAAGGAATTAACAAATTGTCATTATGTAATGGTTATCTCAATAATATATTGCATTTTTCAGAAAATTACTGTTTTGATGTTTTTTTTTTTTTTAAAATTTAGTGGGGTTGCTTTTAAATGCTACCAGTGTTAATGAAAATTGTATAAATGTCATGTTTGAAAAACTAAAACTCAGATTAACATTCAACTTTTGAAAATACAATTTATTTGGTAGTGAATATTCAAGTTAAGAATTATTTTTCAGAAAAATTGCAATATATTTTTTTAAAATTTCTTTTTGGTTCTGGCAGAAATCTTTTCTTTTTTTTTTACAAGATTATTTTTTTATAAGCGAAAATTACATCATTAATAGCGTTATGGTTTTTACAGTTGCTTTAAGTAATGATATTCATTAAAGTTGTTTAAAAGTTTAATAATTATATCGCTTTGATTTATTGGCCTCATTGAAACAAAATGCTTTTATTTTATTCAAAAATTTTCAAAACTATTGTTTATGTAATGTCAAATTGATGTTTCTATATATTTCCCATGGTTAATTTTAAATCACTAATATTACTTCTTTCTTTTTTGGCATATGAGAGAATAGACTAAATCTTTTCATAATTTTTTTTTTTTTTTTTATATTGAGTTATTATTATTAAGAAATGCAGAAGATGATTGTTTGTATTAAAAACGTTCTTTTATGATTATGAACTTTTTTTCACTTATAATTTTTATAAAAATTGTTTTTAAATGTAATTTTATTTTTTTTGATTTAATGTGTAGGCATGGTAAAACTGATGTTTTGAAAGATAAAAAGATATCACTAGTGTCAACCCCAGGAAATCCATTTGTTGATAATTGGACTCCATTATTGCTAGCTGCTAAAGTTGACGTTATTGAAAAATTTCTCCCTACTTCAAAATCAGGTAAATATTTGCAACTGTTATCCATTGTTTTGTTTTCAAGTGTTTCATTAATTTTAGAAATTTCTTCCTCGAGTTAATGTTATCATATTTAATATGTATATATAGCTTTTTAATTTATTCATTTTTGCAGAATGTGGTTTTATTTATTTATTATTACAATCAAATAACATTTCTGGAAAACATTTTTAGACTCACTATGGTAGTGCCATATCTTACTAATTAAACCTTTTTCATCTAAAAACACTACAGTCAATTGCTGACCATGACTATGTCAAGCAACTTTATTTATCAGGCAGCACTACTCTCTTTTTATTAACCCTATACTACTCAGTATAGAGCAAAAGTTATCTGCATCCACAGGGTGAATAAATATAACAAATAGTGTTCAAAAATTTGCCACTTTTGTTTCTTTTTTTTTTTTGTGCCTAAAATGCCTCATTTGTATTTTAGTATTTTTTCAATGAATATGGAATTATTATGAATATTTTATAATATTTTTAACATTGTTTTATTTTGCATTTATTTCTTAACATATTTCTCAATTTCAAAATTTTTGCTGTATTTTGAGAAATATTTCAAGAGAAATTCCTTACCTTATTAATATTGACAGTTTTTTTTAATCGATTAAAATTTTCAATTTTTTAAAAAGTGGCCACCTATTTTTTTTTCCAAAAATGAAGCCACTTTAAAAAATTTTACAACTCACCAGTGGCCTAATTTTGCCCTTTACTGCTCTGTCATTTTACCGCACCATCCAATCATCTAGTATGTGGTCTGCCTCTCTTTTTTTTTTTTCTCTTTGGCTTGATGAAAATAAGGTATAATTTTTTAAATTGTATTTTATTCATTATGTCTATAGATATAACTAGGCCATCTGATCTTCTGGATTTAATTAACCTTCACTTTATTACTCCAAAAAGTATCATGTACTCCATACATTGAACCAATTCTCAAATTTTTTTCTTCTCATGTAAATTATCTTTTTGATAAAGGTGTTATATAGTTGTGTATTCATTGCTCTACTCAAGTTTTATTCATTTATCTCTCCTCTCAATCTAAAATAGCATATATTAAAGATATATATTCTATATTAATTATATATTAAACATATATATATTCTATAGTCATAGTAAACATACCAAATATTTAGACTGATCGTCTTTTCAAAAACATAATCTTTTTTCTTTCTTTTTTAATCACAGTGAGATTGGTGTTTTGCTTCTTATTGCCTTTAATTTAGTCTTTTCTCTTTTGGCTATTAAGCTAAAATGTTTAGCTTCAATTTCAAATGCTTGTAAAACTTCAATCAAGGCATGAAATACTATACTTATTTTAATATATGTTTTCTTATCTATATAGAATTTTTGTTTTATAAATTTTAATTCTAAGCATTAATAACATTTTTATATATAAACAGGAGCCTCTGCAAACATTGATCTTATTATCACAAACTCTGTTTGTCCGCAAGAGATAATCCAGGCTGCCAGAAGGAAAAAAATCCCTGTTGCCTCTATAGAATGGGTGATACAATCTTTAATCGCTGGTAAATGTTTACCGTACGATGCACATCCAAAATTCAAACATGACTATACTGAATGATTATCATATTCATCATGAACAAAAAAGGAAAAAAAATAAAAACATTTCAATGCTTCTTCTTTTATTTGCAATGTTTTCAAATGATCTTAAAACATAGAATAGGTTGTTCCATTCATTGATATGGAGTAATAAAATTGTACAGATTGCATATCTCAAATATTTTTCATCTGAGAAGTCATAAGTGTAATGCATTTTTATGAAAAATTAGAAAAATGCTTTTATATATGTAACGCATTTTTATGAGTAATAAAAAAAAATGCGGTTATAAGTGTAAAGCATTTTTTTATTAAAAATCGAGAAAATGTTGTCATAAGTGTAATGCATTTTTAAAGAAATGTCATAGAAATGCTGTCATAAGTGTAAAGCATTTTATATGAAAAAGTCATAAAAATGCTGTCATTAAGTGTAACACATTTTATGTTGTACATCATATCATGTAGTTGTGCCATTCTTACATCCCAATAGAAAATCCTATGTGAATTTATGATTTGCATTATAGAGTATTTGTGTTAGGTGCTACATATTTTATTTTAAAACTTACTTTGCAAAAAATGTCATGTACAATACATTTTCCATTTAAAATATATATTGTTAAATATATTAAATCATGAGTACAAAATTTATTAGGTTATCTGTGCACTTCCATTTTTTTTGTAAGTAATGAAGATTTTATATTTAATTGATAAAGCTTTGCTGTAATTTTTTCAATCAATCATATATTTTTTTGATTTTGTATCAATTCCTTTAGATGAATTGAGCTCATGAACTTAGTGTTATTTTTATTGAAAAATGTGTTAAAAGTATTTGACTACAAATATAATTATTTTATGTTCATTATTATGCATTGCTAAGAAACTAGTATGACTATTTATCATGAAAATTATTTAAAACTTTATTTTCCATATTAGGTTGGTGAGAAAGTTTTTAATATTATATTTAAAAAAACATGTAAAAAAAAAAAACAAGTTTAAAAAACATCTAAATTTAAAATGTATATATATCTTAAATTTTTAGAGGGAAACATTTTATTTTATTTCATCTTATATGATTTATTGAAAAATGTGTTAAAAATATTTGACTACGAATATAATTATTTTATATTCATTATTATGCATTACTAAGAAACTAGTATGACTATTTATCATGAAAATTATTTATAACTTTATGATTTTATTTTCCATATTAGATTGGTGAAAAAGTTTTTTTTTTTTTTTCATTTTAAAAAAAAAACAAGTTAACTTGTTTTTCAAACAAGTTTAAAAAACATGTAAATTTAAAATAGCATATATATCTTAAATTTTTAGAGGGAAGCATTTTATTTTATTTCATCTGATATGATTGAAATTATCAAAAAAGATTATTTGATAAAGCATTGTAAAACAAAAATTTACATAATTGCAATTCCTCTAAGAATTTGCAGTCAAAAAATTTGTTTTGGCATAAAAATTTCAGAAAAAAAAAAACAAATCTTTCTTCTCAAATCTATAAAAATCCTTCAACAAGCATAGAAAATGACTAGTCTTTAAGTTATTGACGACCCTTATATGCTTTTGAAACGCAAGGTCAATAATTTTTACATTTAGTACCATTGTTACTTGTAAAATTTTAATATTGTAGTGGAGTTAAGCTACAATATTTTTACTTAGAGTTATTTTGTTTTCCACAAAATTTATTATTCGAACCATGAAATGAAAAATGACATGTTTTTCTGATAAAAAAAATAATGCTGTGTACATATTTTCTTGGGAAATCTGGATTTCCTGGAGTATCTGAAAAAGTGTAATTATTCTTCTGAAATTGGTAGGAACCCTGACTGTACAACAAAAATAATGTTTTGTATATGCATTTATTGATTAAGGAAACATTTTTAATAAAACTAAAATATGATTTGAACTTATTCAGACTGCAGTTCAAAACCTTTACAGTTCAGAAAGTTTTTCTGAAAATTTGGTGTAGGAAGGTTCATGTGAAACCAAAAAAAAAAATAATAATAATATCTTAATATTTTATTTTATTAGAAAGTTTCAAGTGGATACCAAAGCTTCTATTTGAAGCTTCCTAATATACTTGAAAGTTGGTAGAAAAAGCTTCAAAAGATACCAAAAAGAATTTTTTTTTTATCAACCTAATATTTTATAATTTTAATTCTTTTCTGTGCACATCTTTGTTATAGTAAATATTGTTATAAAGGCATTACTTTAAAGCACACATAAAGAAAATATTACGTGTTCGAAGAATAAATTCAATTATGCATAAGTAACTTTTGCATGCCTATAAATAATGAAGATAAACTAATTGATAGTTTCTCCAATTATAGTATTATACTATATCTAATTCATTTTTTCTTTCAAAAGACATTATCTCAATAATAAAATACTTCCAATTAAAAATAAATAAATAAAATCATTGTATACTAAGTCTTTTGATTATTGTTGGGTATAAATTTCAAAGCTATATAAAAAGCAGAAATTCCAGAGACGTGATCATTAATAGAAATAGAATTTAATTGCTATTATAGTAAGTAATAATGAAAGGAATTATACTATGTAAAATTGGACAAGCATTGTTAGAAAACTTACTTTTAGTAAAATATAAAAATATATATTTGTTTAAAATACCAAACTTATATATATATTTACTTCTATCAATTATATACAACACTACTATTCTATTGAAATTATTTATACTAGATAAAACATTACAAATATGCATTTTATGCAAATCAAACTAAAAGAGCTTTTTTTTCCCTTAAGAGTTTTTTATGAAATTAATTTCAATCAAGAAGTTTTCATTCAAATTTGGGTATCGTATAAGGTATCTATTAGGAAGTTTTCATTTAAAAAAAATATATGAACTCATACAAATATATATATTCATCAAAAATACATGCTAAAAACTTAAATGTTTTTTAGGCTTTATCATTTTAGTATTAAGACTTCTGAAAAAAATTTTTTTTAGCTGATTGTTGTTTTTCCAAAATTCATATGAGCTTTGATTTATATAATTCACTCATACTATGAAATCATTTACTGTGGTATATTTTCCCATTTTATGTTTCGATGTTTTGTGCTTGTTGAAATAGTTTAGGGTTGTGACAATTTTGTGTGAAAATTTAGTTTAATTAAATATTTGTTATATCCCATTTAAAAAAATTCTATTTATTGTTATTTTATTTTTTAAATTAAGGACATAAAACATCTAACTTTTTTAAAAAAAAACATTAGCACAAGTTTTAATTCGAATGTAATTTTGCGAATTTCCGATTTCATTTAATAAATATTTAAATAGATTTCTGAATGTGATAAAAATAGTGTATATTTAAATTTATCTAAACAGTCACTATATTATCACCAATAAATTATCATTTTCTATGACAGTTGCAACATGCAGTTAGTGTGAAGGAAACTTTTCAAACCAAACTGTATTTTCTGGTAAAATTAATAATTATTTGCTAATTGAAAGTTTTTACTTCATGTTTTTGTTCAAATAAATTGAATATGTGTTCTATTATTTTGATTATTTCAAACTTAAACTATTTACTTTAACTAAAATCATTTATATTGCTATGTGTTATAAATATTTCGTTGTTAAAATGTAAAAGTATCTGTGCCAATTGTAAGAATTTTCCTATACTTAAAAAAATAATAACGTACTTTATTGTTACATTCCAAATAAAAAATAAATTCTGATTGTTTATAACTTGTTTTATACTCATTAAGTATTTTTCTTTTTCTTCTCTTTCTCACTCGATAAAACTGACTTCTGTGTTTCGAAGAAAAAGGGACATTATAACGTGAGGTAGCTAGATTGCGATTAGGGGCCTTTAAAAAAGTACATAACATCCCGAAGGGGGGGGGATTTGTACAATGGGGAGGTATTATACAAAGTTTGTACATTATAAGCATACACCAAATTTAAATTTGACTTTTTCCTACACACTCCTTAAATAAATATTTAATTTTATTTAAAACATAATAATTTTAATTTTTATGAAAAAGGGGAGTAGACTAATAAAATGTACGTACTCTAGGGGGGGGGGTAAGCCCTTATGTACGAAGGGAGGTTAAAATTTCTCCATTTTTATGTACATACTTTTTGAACGGCCCTTACACTAAACTATAGTAAATATTTAGTCATATATACTGGACTTTTGACAAATAAAATTATTCGTTTATCCAATTCCTGCAAAAAAATTTCCTAAGCATATGGTGTTATATTCTCTTCAAAACATATTATCTGCTTTCCAAGCTTACTATGGAAGTAATCTATATCTCAGTATCTTTTTGACCCTGGATTACTCAACGACCACCTAGGAATAGATTGACCTGGCACTTTTTTTTTTCTTTCGTAGAAGGTTTATGATGTTTCACCTTTATTGAGAAGTAATAGGGGTCTGAATCATTCCCTGATGATTTTTGCTATCCATTGAGTCATTCCGTTAGTTTAAAAATCTGTAACGCCTCTTTTTGTAGTTATTTTTTAGGAATTTAAAAAAAAAAACTATGAAACCCGCTGTGTCAGATGGTTTTGTGTGGACATTAAAATAACAATGTGTCTTTGAAATAGCAAATGGGACTTCATGTACTGGAAGAGTCACAGTAATGGAGTCATACTGCAGACCGTTGAATCAAAAAATTAACTAATATAAAACATTTGAAACCTAAAATTACTTTCATACAATGGTACAATATTTTTTAAAAATTAAATTATTTTTAAAGCTACAAACAATCAAGGCATTTAAAAAAATCACTTTACTGTTCAGTAAATCACTCTTACACTGATTTCTTGATTCGTTTAGTAGCTAATTTATTGACTCTCTCATTAATTCATTTATCGATTTGCTGATTTATTAAAAATGCTTATTTTTGTTATTCTTAACCCTCTTCAGAACTGTGATCACATATGTATATATATATATATGATTCTCCCTTCACAGAAGATTGTATCATACATGAAATGAGCCTTTCTGACTAACGGCCCAAGTTCACATAGTTGTGATCTCAATACTGTTCACTTCATATTAGTACACATACTCTTAAATATGAATAAACTCTGAGTGTTCAGAAAGGCTTAATTTATTTATATGCTCAATCAGTGTTTTGTTAACTTCTCTGTTTACTGATTTGTTCTTTTACTCAGTGTTATTTGGTTAGTTACTTTTTTATGCGTTTTAAGTATGAATTCTAACTGAAAGTTCTAGTAAAGAGCTGATTTTTGAAAAATGTTATTATTCTTAACAAACGAATATTAGGTTAGTATTTCATTTACGTCGCACTAGAGCTGCACAATGGGCTATTGGCGACAGTCTGGGAAACACCCCTGAGGATGATCCGAAGACATGCCATCGTAATTTTGATCCTCTGCACTGGGGATGGCTCCTCTGCTTTGGTAGCCAGCAGACCTGCTCACTAAGTCGAACACTTTGCGGTAAAATAGTTTAAGAAGTACTGATGTCGCACACTCTCGGTCACTTTCCCGCTTACTGACCGCAGCCAGAGATGCTTGACTTTGGTATTCTAGTGGGAACCATATCTTTACAATCAGTTCACTGCTGGACAAATGAATTTTAAAAATATCTAAATGTTTAAAATACACTTACATAAAAAAAAGGAAGCAGAACCACTAACTTTGAATTTTTTATTTTATCTAAACAGTGGATTATATAAAAATCAATTAACCAGTATTTTTAAAAAAGGAAAACTTTATAAATACGCTTCGTAATAATGAATGAATAAAAGTTTTAAAAAAATAATTCTAAAGGTAGTATAAAATTCAAAATGTAGTCAAAAAGAGGCATTTTTCCTTGGCAACAAAACTTTAAAAAAAGTCTTAAATTTCTAGGTTTTTTTTCTTCATAATACAGGTTACCATTAATTTTTGAGAAAAATTTTTTTAACCTATATTTTTATTGCCTAATTTTGAGTTTACCATTTTAAGAATGGTTTTCTTGCTTGACAATTGAAACTCACAAATCTGTTTCAGAATGCAGTTATATATTTAAATGGAAGTTTTATCTTTGCTAAAAAAAATGTGCACATTATAAAGAAGGCACTTGTTTATTAAATCTGTAGACTTTAATATTTTAACATATAATAAACAGCATTGTGTCAAGCATCAGCCAGTGCTTTCTCAAAATAAAATCAATAACAAAATATAAATTTTACAATGTACAAAGTTAGTAACACTTAAAAAAATAATGTTTGTCAATCTAAGAACATTTCCTATTTAAGAAACTCAGATTCTTCTAAGATGAATCTCTTTATTGAAATTTTGAAACTTCATAGTAAGTCCTTCTAAAAAACAAACATATTTGAACAAGAAATAAAAATACTAAGTAATTTTTTCACAAACAAAATATGTAAATATTAAAAAATTAAGTATATTATTTCAAAATTTTCGTACAAAAAGGGGAGAAATAATTTTCAGAATAAGAACTATTTATTTTTTAAGCATAACATTAAAATTCATAGTAATCATAGAGGTTTTATGAAATTGGTACTAAACTACAACATATAAAATTTCCTTTGCAATCAATATATATATTTAAAAAAAAATCAGTATTGTAATTACTTTAAAAATAATCTTTTTCAGTAATAAAAGAATTTTTTTGTTTGGCTTACTAAATAAAATTATTTGATTTTTTCTATTATCGTGAATCAAATGTTTTTAAATAAAAATTAATACCTAATTCCATATGATATTTAGGATTATTTCTTTCACCAACTGCATTAAAAAAAAATTATATTTTATTTCAATTAAACTAATACACTGAAACAAATAAGTAAGATACATTAAGTCCAAGTTTGTAAAAAAAAATATTTCCCAATAATCATTTTTAAATAGAAAGTGTTTTCTGTTCTCATTATCATAAATCGCATTTATCAAGACTTTAATTATCATCTAAAAAATACCTCCTTGATTATTAAAGTTAATTATTTCATAATGGGCTTTAAAATTCTATTTAATTAGTTATTTTCTCTAGATTGAATAAAAGCTATCATTAATATAGTCCATATACCATCGGAAGATCATAAATAAGGGACTCTTAAAAGAGTTCCCTTCAATGCTAGGGTATAATAGTACAAAGAACCATTATTGGGATAAAGTTTTTACCAATAAACCATAAAATTGTTTTTTTATGTAACCCATAATTTGGCTTTCAAGCAACTTTTTTAGATGAACAGATTATATCTAAATAAATCAAAATTGAATTTATTCGCACTGCCCAATTTCCATATTTATTAATACAAAATTATTGCCACAGTATCTATATCAGTAGTATAATAGCAATCTATTACCACAATAACAGCAATGCCTGCTACAATAACTAATTTGGAAACAATAATATAGTAATAATTTATATAAATAGAATAGTAATAATTTATTTAGTACCAAACTTAAAGTAATAAAATCCTCAACTAAAAAAGTTTTGTATAGATATATTAACAAAAAGACTAACTCCCAATTTACACGTGACGTCTGACATCAGATGCATAACGGCATATGAGTAACAAAAACCTGATTTTTCACCTCCAATTTTCCTAGCCTGCTTTTAGACAAGAACTGTCATGTGAAGGAAACTCTGAGTTAAGCTGGAAATCAGGCACATGATGATTGACTGCTTGCATCATATAACTTTTTACTTAACTTTGCAAGAAAGAATCAACTACAGGAATGGTGTAAATTTAATATAAAGCCTTATTTCAGGGATGAGAGTAGTTGGAAAGTAAAAAAGAGGAAATTCAAGAATATATATATATATAGAAAAATTTCGACAAAAAAGTGCAATTTTTAAACTTGTAAACCATGTGATTATAAATCCCGATGATTAATTTTAAAATTGCATGAATATATAAATATGAATCACATGCATGATTTTAAATTAAGAGAATATGAATCTGGAAATGAGGCTTTTAAATCACGTGAATATGAAACTCTATATCGAATTTTAAAAATGGGAAAATACAAATCATGATGCGTAATTTTTAGACCACGTAAATACGAATCATGATGCATAATTTTTAAATAGTGCGATTACGAATCCAACTGTCTAATTTTTAAAGCACGTATAAATAGGAAAATCGATGTTTGATATTACAACCGCAAAAACTCACGAGATTAGGTTTTAAGCACGCGTGAATTCGAATCGCTACATAGGGTTTTAAAAGCGAATAATTACAAATCGCGATATTGGATTTTTAAATCTTGTAAATAAGAATCGGAATGTACGACATTTAAATCGCCTGATTAAGAATCGCAACGTTCAACTTTTAAATCAGGTGAATACGAAAATCAATGTTTGAGGGGGGAATAAGGACTTCAATACTTTCGCTTCACAAAAAATTTAATTCCTCATAAAATATTTTAACTTGGGCAAAAAAAAAATTTCAGCGGAAATCCGCGAATTTGCGGAAGAATCACATCCCTGTTATTTACAGTAAGTGAGGTGAAAAAAATAAGGAAAGAGTGAGCTATTATGTACTTTATAAAATTTATTTTTTAACAAGCCTAGATCACTTATATTATGAACGTCATAATAAAATCTATTAAGACATTTAGGGTAAGTATAAAAACATGTCAAAGTTAATGACTTATTTACAAGTCATACTTTAAGGTAAGGAGAATATCAAAAAACCACATATAAACAGTATTTAAGCAATTAAATATCATTACATTTCATGTCCAAAAAATCATTATGAATGCTTAAAATAAATATCGATAGTTGTTTCATGACATGCCTTAAGATTCTGGTCATTAAACCCAATACTGAATTTACTAACAGGTTTAAAGTAATCAAGTCCTCTTCCAATTTTTATGATCCAACCATTATTGAATCTTATTTCTCGGTCATGTAACGTAGTTGAATAGTCAATGTCTAGCACTATATCATAACCGGCTAAACTTTTTTTAATACACTGAAATCTGGATTGTTGACTTTCAAAATCTTGGTCACTTGCACCTGTAACCAATAGAATTCTTTTTAACTCGGGACAAAATCTAACTAGAACTTCACAAAAACTTAAAAAATTATAAGTTTGATGAGCAGTTCGAATGTACGGATCTTCTATTTCAACAAGAGTTACATATTTGTCAAGATGTTTGCTGACTATACTTTCATAGCTAAATCCTACTCCATTATTCGGAACTTGGATTTGTTCGTGGTATGAACCAGCGTCTTTTTGTTGCTGTACTATTTGCTTAATCTTTTCAGCTCTGGTCATGTACTCTGTTGCCTTTTGGCGCAAATGTTCAAGTTTCTTTTGATCAGACGTGTTTTTGATTACGTCTAAGAATAGCTGAATTCCCTCTTGATAACAAGCTAATGCAGCGGGATATCTCCCTTCGCTGTCATGTTGAACAGCACGTCTGATAACAGAAATTGCAGCTTGCTCAATACCTTCGATTGCTGAATTTTTAGAATTCATCCTCAAAAGTTGAATCACATTAAAATTAAAACGTTTGAGGCAGAAGTAAAAGTTAACAAATTAAAAACTACATATATTTTTAACAAAATAAATTTTAGGAATTATGTTTCAGATAAAATATAATTTTAAAAAATTTAATAATTCAAGTTTTGAAATCCACAGAAAACATTAGAGCTCTTGTCACCTTGTTTACAAACTTTGAATACATTTATTTCACTTCCGTTCTTTTTCAAATCTTCCCAAATTAAGAAAAAAAATTAAGAGGTTTCTGTGTTCCCATTTTCGATTAATTTTCTTATCACGACATTGAGAGATTTCACCATTCGTGAGTTTCCGCAGGAAAAAATATGAGACAAATCCATGGATCCTAAAGCGGATACTACTCTAGACTCCATTGACAAATCCGAATCTCACTCTCATTGCCAAGTTTGCCCCTGTGCATTTTGCATGCAGTGAGAATCGTGTCTGCTGTTTCTCACACGGGAATTTACTTGCAAAAAATTGGCCAATCAAATTCTCCGTTCCGATGTGATTTTTTTTCACATGCGAAAAAAATCGCATCTGAGATGAGAATGCTCCTAACATTTTCTTAGCGCATCTTCTTAGCAACCAATTTCAGCAAATAACGAAGTTATAAAGTTAATGTAAATTGTTCGACAATCGGAGAGTTAAAAAATTAATATATGTATTAATTTCACCCTCTACTGAATTTGCTTTCAGATCACTCAACTTTGTTATGGTTTACACTTGTGACGTCATTGTGAAACAGTGAAAAATGGAACGATGGCGGAGGGTACATCATTGAATAAAATTGTTTGATTATTTAATTTTTTTTCCAGACTCCTATTTTTAATCATACAAGTTCACTCCCACTGCTTACTTGAAATCATAATCCTATCATACATATATAGTTCGCCATTCATACAAAATGGACACTGGCGATGATGAGTTATATGATGCTGATTCAGGCAATGAATCTAGCGCAGAAGATGAAGACGAATTATCCATTTCATTAGAGCCTGAATCAAGTTCTAGAGAAAAATTAGATACTGAAGAGTTCCATTACGATGTTCTATCAACTGTACAAATTGTAGAACATATGGTTGATTGCATCCGAGAAGTAAACACTGTCGTTCAGGTAGTGTTTACATTTAGTGTTAACTGACAAAAATTTTGTAAACAAGGATGTTTTTCCTTTTAAACCTATATGTAGCTCTAGTTGATGTGTTAACAGTTTTAAATGCGATCTTAATTGCTATTTAATTATTTAAAAATGGTTCGCAATTAAATTATTGGCGTCGATGGTTCATATATTTGAATTATTTATTTACCTTTATTTAGATTCCACCTACGATCACTCGAATCCTATTGAATCATTTCAAGTGGGACAAAGAAAAACTATATGAAAGGTTTGTTATTATTATTTTTAATTATGATTTTTCATTTATTTACTCAATAAATTATTTGATAACAATGATGTTTCGCTCCATTGCTTCTTATAGAACTATCCAAAGATTGAATCAGCAGTTATAAATTATCACAATTCTTTCATAAAAATACGTATGGTAGCATTAGCTGTACAATAAGTGTAGTTTTTAAAAAATTCTAAGTGCAAAAGAAAAGTTCAAAGTGTAAATATTTACTAAGTAGTTAATAATTAATTTCCCTAAAATATTGATAAGTTTTGCTGGTTTTATTCTTTACAACTATAACACAGTTTTCGTTTAGAGAAAACAATAAATTTTCTATATTTGTAACATATTATTATTCCTTTCCAATTAATTGATTAACGCAATAAACAGGGTTGGCAAGTTTTTGACACATGACAGTTTTTACCGTCATCTCAAAAACCCATAGTTTTGGTAAAACTGTATTTTTATTTGAGTTTAACTGCTTATAATTTAAAATTAATTAAAGTGAATTTTGTAAATTAATTCAAGTGCTTATGTCTTGCCTATCCAGTTCCGCATCCATTAAAAGAATCTTCTCGAATTTTTGACTCATCCATACTGAACTCAGAAATCGACTGGGCAATGAAAAATGTGCAAAATTAGTCACTTGCTATCGTATGCTTCGGCACAGTGACCCCGACTACTCAGGGGTCTGTCCAGGCCGAATTTGCTACCGTTTAACGGTACCTTCACAAATTCAATTTTAGGTAAAACGGTAGTTTCACAGAATACTTTTTCTTAAAATTTTATTCTCACTTAAGAAACGATAAATCTATATTTTTACTATGTTTTTGTGTTAATTTTTTACTATAATTTTTAATTTTTCACAAATTAGGGTGACCTGGGGAAAAACGCAAACATCTATTTTGTGAAAAAACTATTCAAAATAGAATTTTAATATTTATTGGAAGTTTGAGGCTATATGAGATGAGTCCAATGCCACCTTCTGTTGTTTGAAGATCTAATTAGAATTTAAAAGATTTTAAGTTTTTAGTGATCAGGAATTACCCCTGGTCTTGATCATTTCTGGGGTAATTCCTGATCACTTCTGGGGTAATTACTGATCACCAGTTTTTATTGTAAAGGGGCTGTTTAAAAATAATTATATAATGGTAATTAACAAATAAGACATCAAGATCAAACAAATCATTTGTAATGAA